AGCGGCTATCCCTGAAAATGCTACTGCGAGAGCGATCTTATTCTGTCGACTAAATTCAGGCAGGATTTCTCTTGTAATATATGTTTATTAAGTGCCCCCCGGACATCTTAAAACGATGCAGCTAATTTCGTTATATAATTCCTTTTGTTCAATAGTAAAATTGGAAATATTGCTTCTTGGGTAAATTTCCGTAGTTAATATACTACGGTGGCTATTTCTGTAGAACAGTATTTGTTACTGTTTCGTCGATCTCTTAGGATTCCATATAACAGACAGCAGCTATCAAAATTAATCATAGCCTAAATGGTGCCCAAGATTAAGATATTTAAAATAAACAAAGAATTATTAAAATCTGTCTAATAGTTTCAAAGATTAGCGTATACATACAAGCAGACAGACAATTTTAAAAGTCATTGAGCTGTATTCTATTCGTGTTTTAGTATTTCCCTGAATAAATTTTTGAGAAGATCTCCCTGAAGAAATTGATATTTAATATACAGACACACCATTTTTACCGTTTTATTCTCATGTAATAGAATAATAATAATAATAGACAAGTCAAACAATCAAGTAGCAAACATGCAAACAACTTAGGCAGACTAAATAATACAAATAAAAAATATAGTAAGTATTAATGTAAACTCTATTAGAACATGCAACATAAAAAACGAATATATTGTTAATAATATTGTTTTAAATATAGGTATATTTATTACACCAAATCCGGTATGATTCATAAAAATTTGCGAAAGTAACATTTCAAAGGCAGTCTGACTGGGATTTTCATGATCCTTACCTTGTAATAGTTTTAGACTGATTTATGCAATATTGATAGGTAGGTTTTTATTTAGGTCAGGCTCACATAATAATGAGAGACTTATTCTGAACTGAGTTTCTGGCGCAAAATCAACATTGAAACGAGAGGATGTCATAAGGTAATATAAAATTTAAATTTATTTAGTTGTGTATCATACATAAGTTAATTAGAAATTTAATTTTCACAAATCAAATTGAAAATTAAATTGTTATTCAACATCATCAGCCCTTTTACGTCCCCACTGCAGGGCTCAGTTCTTCCTTATGGATGGTTAAGGAGGATGGGCCACTGCTAATTAGGGGGTATTAATGACTGCAAATGCAACCTTGACCAACGGTTTAACGTGACAATACTTTTTTGGTCACCCATTCCGATTGGACGACTCTTGCGAAAGTTGCTTAACAATAATGAATTCGAGTCGTAACGCTTATCCACTACGCCACCGAACTACTCTTTTTTCTTACAAAATTTTTCTTATGGTGTATTAGTCAAAGTCAAAGTCAAAATAATCTTTATTCAAATAGACTTCTTAAAAGTACTTTTGAATCGTCCAACATTTTTTCCCTACCACTCGTTCAGGACGTCTTTTGGCCGATAAGAAGAACAAGCAAGAAACTCACCAGCTCTAATAAGAGTAATGACATTCACAAAAACCATGTCATTACCAGATCTATACATTATAAATAGAGAGAACAGAGATAGAGAAAAAATAAATAAATATGGTCTTATAATGATTGCTGGATCATCTCAAGTCCAAGCGTTCTTATCTGTTATATAATCGGATACCTTATAATAAGCTTTTTTAATAAGTATTTTTTTAATAGTAGATTTAAACTGCATGATATCTAATTGTTGTATTTTGCTTGGGACCTTATTGTAGAAGCGCACACAAAGACCCTTGAATGAGTTATTAACTTTTTGCACTCTAGTGACAGGCACCGTTAATTTATTTTTATTTCTTGTATTAAAATTGTGTACATCACTTTTTATAGAAAACAAACTAATATTTTTAAGAACGTACATTAAGTTCTCGTATATTTATTGAGAAGCAACAGTCATAATGTCTATTTCCTTAAATTTCTCCCTTAAAGAGTCCCTAATCCTAAGATTATAAATTGATCGAATTGCTCTTTTCTGAAGCACAAAAATTGTTTGTATGTCGGCAGCATTTCCCCACAATAGGAGTCCGTACGACATTACACTATGAAAGTAACTGAAGTATACTAATCTAGCAGTATCTATGTCAGTTAACCTACGTATTTTCATAACGGCATATGCTGCAGAGCTAAGTCTACTCGACAATCTATCAATATGTGGGCCCCACTGTTGTTTAGAATCTAATGTTATTCCTAAAAATACTGTGGTATCCACAAGGCCCATGTTCTTATCTTTTATATTAACATTTTTATCTACTTTTTTAACATTAGGTAGTACAAATTTTAAGCATTTTGTTTTTCCTTCATTAAGGAGAAGATTATTTACATTAAACTAATGTACTACTTTAGCGATGGAATTGTTCACATCGTCATTTAGAGGTAACCCTCTTTTAATTTTAAACAAAAGTGAAGTGTTATCCGCAAACAAAACTATTTCGTGATCATCCCTTACGAAATAAGGCAAGTCATTTATGTAAATCAAAAACAAGAAAGGACCAAGTATTGAGCCCTGCGGAACACCCATCTTAATTTTCGATCCAGGGGATCTTTTGCCATTGATATCAACCCTCTGTACTCTGTCAGTCAAGTATGAGACAATAAAATCCAATGAGTTATCTCTAAATCCATAAAAATGCAGTTTCCTAATCAATGTTTCATGAAAAACACAATCAAATGCCTTAGATAGGTCACAGAAAACACCTAACGCATCATGTGAATCCTCCCAGGCATTAAAAATTTCTTGTATTAACTCGACACCGGCTTCAGTTGTTGAGCGACCCCTTGTAAAACCAAATTGTTGTCGATTTATAAGCTTATTCTTGTAAAAGTACGTTTGTATTTGATCCAGCATGATTTTTTCAAAAATCTTACTAAACGTAGGTAGCACGGATATAGGTCTAAAGTTATTAGGGTCAGATGTGCTACCCGATTTATGTAAAGGAATAATTTTACTATATTTCATGAGCTCAGGAAAAATACCACAATCAGTACATTCATTAAATATATAAGCTAAGATTGGAGCTATTGTCTCAATTACCGATTTAGAAACTTCAATGGAATTACCCCATAAATCAGCGGTTTTCTTTTTCTTTAGCTGATTAAAAGATTTTATTATATCTTTAAAATCAATGTGTTGAAACTTAAATTGGCTATTACAATTATTTAAACTTGCCTTTAAAATAGATTCAGCAACAGTGGAAGAGGAATTCAAAGATTGTGTTATTAAGACTGGAATTTCAGTAAATAAATTTTCAAATACTGTAGCAACTTCAAGATCTGATGTTACTTTTTTATTATCAATGTTTAAATTAAAATTTATATTCCGGGATTTTTCTCTTCCAGTTTCACTATTTATGATATTCCACGTCATTTTAACTTTATCTTTACTATTTTTAATTTTTGCATTTAAATAATAACATTTGGCTAAACGACACACTTTTTTGAATAATTTAGAGTAATTTCGTACATATTCTTTGAAGTCCTCACTTGTGTTATAATTACGTTCATCATATAGTTCATAGAGCCTTTTTCTACTTTTGTAGATTCCTGGTGTAGCCCACACTCTAAAAGTTATAGGATTACTAATACTAATATTTTTTAAATTGGTAGATCACATTTAAATGCATCCCCTTAACGTCACTAATTATGAGTTAAACGTATGAGTGACGCTTTAACTAAATACATAAATACGTAGTGTAGTCATTTTCTGTATCTTGTTTTTGTATTTTGTAGTCTTGTTATTTCAATATGTATACCTAAATACTAACTTGTATGTGAGTTATGATTAGGACAAATAATTCATTCAATATTTTCTTTAAAGGAACACTACTTAAAATATATACCGTAATAGATTTTGCGGTTTTGAATACCCGGTTTTGATTTCCGGTCAGATCAATTTAGAAAAAAAACTTTTTTATATTGTTCCGAGTTCGAGCATTGACTTTTGTCATTTTAGACTTCCTTTTACTCGTACTAGCTACTGAGAGCTATGTATACAATTTTGTCTTTATTTATTACTAATGTCTCTTTAATCTTATTGTAATAGATTTCAATTTAACATTAAGTATTGTAGAGCTCACACATCTTTTGCCACTCAACAAATTTAGAGTTTGGCTGAGAGGTGTTAATGCATCTGCCGTATAGTCCTGACCTTGCGATTTCCAACCGTATCGGTCTCTTCATAATTCTTTAGGCAGTGTCAGGTTAACATCTCGCAAGGACTGCCAAAATCACTTGTCGCAGTTTTTTGATCAGAAGCCCCAAAAATGTCTACAGTTCCTACCTGCAAGATTATAAAATGGTACCTAGATACTTTAGTAAAATGTTAATAAAATGTATTCTTTTTTCTTTAAATATAAAATGCGAAGAAACTCTTTCCCCAACATATTATAATAGATAATAAGTCAAACAATCAAGTAGCAAACGTGATTACAGCTTAGGCACACCAAATAATACAAATTAAAAATATAATACGTATTAATATAAACTATTAAAATACACAACATAAAAAATAAACACAAACTGACATTGTCTGTGTAATTATGAAACTAAACATTGTTTAAAATATTTTAATTACAAGTCTGGTATGATTCATAAAAAATTGTGAAAAAAAATTCAAGAGTTTGACTGGGATTTTCAAAGTAAAAACTTTAATATTATAAATTATTTGTTATTGAAATAAATAACGTTTAATTAATATATTGCTGTAGAAACGAATTGAGACAACAGAATATACACGTGATGGAGCACACGCACAATTCATGAACAACGCAATTATTATTTCCAATAGCGAACCATTCAATTTTCATGTTTACGCCAATGCAATAAGACCGCGAACGATAATATTAAAATCTTTGTATCGATTTTATAGAACGGATTAGCGCGCAACGTAGCGTGAAAAGCAGGCTTCACATTGGCAAAGAGCTAACCGAATTTATGCAACCGAAAATGAGAAAGAACTTGTTTCAATTTACATAAGTCACGACGCGTGCGCAGGCCGATTGGACGTCAGTTAGTTTGTGGTTGTTGTCGCTTAAGGAACGGCCTGCAGTTAGTCTGTGGGACGTGCGAACATGCGTGTGGGAATTGTTTTGAATTTAGCAGTGCCGGTGTTGGCGACTTTGTTGGTAGGCGATTGCACAGCTAAAATTGCGCGTGAGTGCCTTTTATTGAGACTAGGAAAATGGATATCAGTGATGATTTTAAAATGTCGATTAGTTTGTTTTGAAAATTGTTTAAAATAATTGTAGATCAATTTTGAAAATGTTAAAAGATACATTTATTGACATGTTATTTTATTTATTTTATATTTTATCTTATGTGAGTTCATTTTTTTAAACTGACCAATGAGTAAAATATTACACTAGGCGCCTATTAATATATAATATACTTAATGCATTTAATATATAATATAAATAATATATAATTAGCATTTTTATTAAGTTTTAAGAAAAGTGATAATTACGAAGGTCGCATTGACCGATAAACATGTGACTTATATTTATATGCTTATTATTTCAATTAATGACAAACTTAGAAAAGAAATTTATTAAAATATTTTTTTAAATAAATTCTTCGAATTAAGAATTGTATCACAATATAAATTAATATACTATTGCAATATTAACAAATCCATAGAAATAGTAATATGCATGCAAAATGCATCCTTATTGCTAAGGTTTCTATCTCTACAAGGCAACTTTTGCCTAATGGCGGATGGGGATCCGACAAAAAATAATTGACTATGAAATCAGTTGAATAAGATAAGATAATTGAAAATAGGTTAGAAGATTGCAGAATTAAAATGACTGTCAAAACGCTCTCATAGAGAGCTCATGAACCCATAACCATGAACTCTCAACTAGTTTTTTACAAAGAAATAACGTCGAAAGAAATAATTACACCGGTCTGTCACCGTCAAAATGTGAATTTATAAAAAAAACTATAGGAAAATCACATAATTATCCCTAATATTAAGCATCTTTCCACTTCTTGTTAACCGACGAACGAAAAGTACGATATTTTCGCCAATTGTTGACCGATTTGCAAATTTTTATTCCGCAGCTTAATGGACAGAAGTGGTCCCATTTAAATTTTATCGAAATCAAATCAGTAGTTTGCTTTTATAACAAAACAAAATACGCTTTTCACTATATATCACTTAAATATTTAGATTGTATTTCATGTATCTCAGCTAAAAAACAAAAGATTGCGTATATTGAATTCATTCAAAATCCGTAGGGAAATTTTTTTATGTTCTTGTCTTTAATAGCATTTTCTTGAATAAGAAGTTTTAGAGAAAAGTATTAGGTATTTATCACTTTTTTGAAGTTTGAAGTCGGTTCTTCTGTTTAGTTTTTTTTTATTATTATTATTTATTCTCTATTTAAAAGAAAAGATATAAAAATATTAGCACTTTGTAGCCCAGGGAAATGTGTAGCAATTTTACAATAATAGCAATGGTTTGCGAGTAATTAAATAAAAACCTTTTTTGGTATACATTTCGCCACCCTCATCGCCACAATAAGATAGAAGTCTTTTGGCTTTACACCCCCTGTTGAGATTAAAAAAGTAAAAAGAATGTAATAAAGAAGCGACAGGATGCGACATTCGTTTATATGAGAAATAGGTTTAGCTGATGAAATTGAGAACGATTTATCAGAGATACGATGCTTTTAAGTAGATCAAACAACACGTACACATGCACTTACTTTCTGGAGACGATTTAGCTAGTTAATGAAAACTTAGTTAGGTCAGAGTAATGTACATCAGTATAATTAAGCAACGGCAGAACAAAGGATTAAATATTCGTCAGCGGCTTCGCCCGCGTGGACCTGTATTATACATTTAAACCTTCGTCTTCGATCTCAGTGTACAGACAACGGGAAGCGCCTTTGTTTTGTACTATGTATACCTATAGAATATAATTTTTGCAGGCTAATAAGCTCCAGCCACTTTTTCCTGTTTCATTCGATAGGTTCCATAGTTGATTCTCGTTATATGTAAATTAAATATTCATATAAAACTAATATCACAATACTACTACAATAAACGAATTCGTATATCGTCTATTAGAGTTATTTATTTCGTATTTCAAGACAGCATGTTACATTATAATAATATAGTTATTGAATAAAAATAACTATTGAACCATGTAGTTCATATTGATCTTTTCACGGATTTACTCTTCATAAAGATGTTGTCCTTCTACAATATTTGTATCCGCATTACAATGCTAACTATCCTTTTTCATTGTTATATTTGTTTACAGAGAACTAAAATCGATTAATAAAAACAGTTACCTTTCAAAAACCACATTGCTTGCAGAACTATTATGTAGTAACTTTTGGTGTAGTTTGGAAGTACAATGGTATAAGAAACTGTTTTACAGTTGTTTTGAAATAGCCCTACTTAGTTTTTTGAACCACGTCGATTTGTGAGTAATAGAATTTAACCAATAGTGAGAATGAGCCACGGCCCACCATTCAGGCTCAGTATGGATTGGTGGGAATTTACAATTGTAGATGCAGCGAGAACCAACAGCTTGATGTGCTTTTGAAAGTATCGAGGAGCTCAAGATACTAATTTTTGCTTACCCTTCCAATAGTTGCTTAACTTACGCATCACAGACCGAACAATATTGACTGCACTATTGACTTATTTTCTCATTGTCCATTATAGTTTATTTGAACTTTATTTAATTTGTTGACAATTAATATTTTGTGTGTGTCCCTTTAAAAGACCATCAATCGAAACTATAGCTTCTCTGGCTTGGGTTATGGAAAAAAGAATGCAGTTTTGTTAATTCGCGTTATACAATACGGAATTGAGATTAGCTTCTTTTATTTTTTTAGATAGACAGCACAAACCATTTTATAGACAGCACTTATGACAGGTTTAATAATTTAGAATTAAAAACAACTGATGACTCAACATAGTAGGAGTAGTGGATAAGCGTTGCGGGCCACGATCGTTGTAGTTAAGCGACTTTCGCAAGGGTCGGTCATGGGATGGATGATCAAAAAATTATTACCTCAAGCTACTTCGTGCTTCGGAAGTCACGTTAAATCATTGGTTCGGCTGTATTTGCAGTCGTTAATACCTCCTTTATATATCCAATCAGCATCAGGTCCTAAAACATTCACAAGGAAGGCTTGAGCCCCTGCAATAAAAGTAAACGTAAAGGGGCTGATGATGATGATGTTGACTCATCTAGTAAAATATACGATTAATATTAGAACAGAATCGCTATGAAACCCTAGCAGCCCAAATAAACCTTAAGAGATAGCAATATAACGCCTTAAGAAAAGCCCATAATCTTGAGCATTTTCTGATGACAAACGATAATTGATTTTTTAAGTAATTTTTTAAAATATTTGTAAAGTAGTGATCATATTTTTTTATAATTCTTCTCATGGTATTAACATACATTAAATAGTTTTTGCAATAAAACATTGAAAACATTTACTGGGAGTACCTCATGCGATGAAGGCGGTAACAGTTAAATACTGGCTAAATTCCCATCATTATGATTTGAGCCTTTTTCTCAAAGTGAAGAAGTTGAGACGAACACGACGCTCACGATCAGTATCACAATTGATCGTTGCGTTCGCGAGTTTGTGACATTTATTAAGCGAGAACAACGTCTCGTAGTCGTCTCTGAGCGTCATGCTATGTCTCGCGAGTCTAAAACATTTACTCGGCAGGAAGAATGTTTCGCAGTCGACCTTGACCATCATGCCATGTCTCGCGAGTCCAAGACATTAACTCAGATAAAAGAACGTCTCACAGCCTACCATGAACACCATTCTATGTCTAGCGAGTGTGCTAGAGCTAACTTAAAAAGCCTAACTTTTGCCTAGCCTAAATTTTACGGTAGTTATTCTAGGGATCCACAATAGATTGAGTTTTGTATAGAGAAAAATAAGTGTTCGTGCATATTAAACGATTGAAAAATAATAAATTTATTTTAAGACACAGCTATAATAAATTCATACCTGTGTCTGTGCGTGTGTACGTTACATTTTTAACAACTTTAATTAAATTCGGTACTCAAATAGAGTGTACCTTGGGAAAGAACATAGAATAGTTTTATGCCGATAAATAGGTGGAAAGTACGGGATGTAAATACGAAGTGCGATTGCAACCGAAATCTACGCGGGCAAAGCCGCGGTCGGAAAGCTAGTTCAAACATATTTTCGTGTAAAGAGCTAATACTATCTAAACGAGGAATTTCCACGAATATCATTCTAAAAGGAACTCGTGAGAACGCTTAAGATATACCTCCCATTAAAGTTTACCTTGGGTTAAATCGAAACCATTTTAGTTGGAGTATAATCTTCAAAACAAGGTCTTCTACAAACTGTGATTTGTCTACTGCTAAAATATTTAGATTACTAAATAAAGCTTTTTAAACAAATAATGACAATGTATACTATTTAAACAAATAGGTATGAAATGTGACTGCCTTCGAAAATTCAGAAATGCTACTAGCTAAACGCAATAATAAACACACATTAAGGTAAAGGACGACAATGATAGCAAAACTAACATTTTCGGCATTATAAGGATCATTTTGATAATGTGTTATGGACTTCATAAACACAAACTTACAGTAGCCCCATCGCATATAATAATTAATGAGGAATGCTATCAATGACTCCGCATTTCATAGTTTATATATACACTTTTAGTGTGAATACACAATGTCAATGAATGATAAAGGAAATTATGTTGGGAGTTAATGGTAATAATATCTTTCATCGACAATACTGAACGGTTTTTTATCAATGAAAATATTTATTATGTCATAACCCTATCAACCAGTTGCAAAAACATCCATTATACTAGTCATTAGTTATTACGACAATACCGATAATTTTTTTATATTAATGAGAGCTTAAAATCGTCGTTAAACCTTAATGGATCTTTGTGCAATTGAATGTAAGTGATGCAATACCTATGTCAATCGATGAAATTAATACTTACTCTTGATTGTGCACCTTCCCACAAATGTCTCTATACCATCCCAAAGTTAATTATGTCATGGAACGTTAAGTCCACCTCTGTACATATATTCATAAAGTGTTAAATAAATAAGCATATAAACTAAAATATTATTAAGTTTATATACTTATAATATATCTTTTAATTTTTAAACTTTTTTTTAGATTAAGCTTAGTTTTCTGAATGCCTTTAATTTAAATAGTTAAAGAAAATAAATAACATTGCGCTTTAGGTGTAATTAATCATTCATTTTATTAAAATTTTATGTTTAATAGATTTGCGTCACATGTTAAATTATTATATTGAGTATAATTTAGAAAAATATGATAATAAAATAACATTTTACCAAACTTACATCTCAATTCAATACGTATACGAAGAGGTTGTAATACCTACATTCATTCAAGGTATCAAAAATAACATAAATTAACGGAAGTTACCCGTAAAGCGATATATCATTTAAATTTGACTTATGATAATTAACTTTATCAAAAATTAAATCTGTCCCTTGACGACGTAATTGGTACTATATATCAAACGAGAGTATTTTGTTTTCCGATGAAAAATGTAACGTACTTTATGAACCTTGAGTTAATTTAATATTTGATATGTTTTCCTCTTAATTTGAGCTTTTCTTCGTTTTCATTAACATTTATTCTTTAATAATAGCAATAAGGGTATCAAATAAAGAGTCCTAATGAGTATTCCAAAAATATGTACTACTAACTTTCGCCAGCGGCTGCGCCCGCGTGGGCCCTAGAGAAATGTTTAGTGGGACAAAAAGTCTAATATCTAAGTCAGCTAATACCCTATCTGTATACCAAATTTCATCAAAATCCGTTCAGTAATTTCGGCGTGATTGACGGACAAACATCTAAACTAAGAAAATTTCACATTTATAATATTAATAGGATGTATACTTTTTCTGATCACAAAAAATTTAACTATAAAATAAAAGTAACAAGTGGTATTAATTATGACTCGGCTAAAAAAATCTACTGCAGTTGAGGACCCCTTAGATTTCCACAAAGTTCTGTAATGACAATTCGTGTATTCAAGCTATAATACAACTTCTTTCTTTTGTTTTTAGTGCGACTTTGGCAATCGTCTTTTTTTTAATTTAAAATATTAATTTTTATATAATTACATTATTTATGTGAACTTACATCGCATCATTATTAATATGCTTATTCAAAATTAAATCTCAAGGTTGATTTTGGGATATTTTAAATAAACCTTCGTTACTACAAGCGCTAGAGTCTCAAATTTTGCATAGTAGTTCTGTTTAGTAATCTAAATTAATTAAACAAAACGATTCCCTATGGATCACGCGGATGAAGCCGTTAGCGGAAAGTTAGTTTATATATAATCTTTTTATTTGTTGATTTACAGCCGACTTCATTAGACCCTGCAACACAACAGAACCAGCTTGTCTTATCAAAGCAACTCGTGATGCCATCCCGGAATTCTCCAAGGGTCTGCCTGAATTAGGAGTACCTGCTTTGGATCCTTTTGTTATTGATCAACTTCCTATACAACTGCCAGGCATCAAAGTGACTTTCCATGAAGGAAAAGCGACAGGATTGCGAAAATGTGAAGTCAGAAACGTGGAGTAAGTGTTACTACCTTTTTTGTGTTTTAATAGAGTCGATGCCTGGGTCAAATAAAGAAAATCTATTTACTTCGTCGGTCAGATAAAAATTAGATACATACGTATATTTTTATTGCTTTTACTTAACAACAAGTGGTTAAGATAATAAGCATAAATTTGAGGAATGTGATCTCGCTAGGTCATAATTGTGTAGAAATAAAAATATTCACCAGCCCCAGGCACCCCGAAATAGGACTTAAACCCACAAAAAAGAAAAAGAAAATCTATTCAGTCCATCGGTCAGATAAAAATTAGATACATACGTATATTTTTATTGCTTCTACTCAACAAAAAGTGGCTTCGATAATAGGCATTAAATTTGGGGTCTCGCAACTGTGTAGAAAAATAAATATTCACCAGCCCCAGGCACTCTAAAATGGGACTCAAATCTACAATCTTACGCAAGTTGGGCAACTGCTCTAACCACTGAGCAGGCCAAGACTTTATATATTAACGGATTTCTCGAGCAGTTGTTATAGTGAGCCTACTTTCATCAATCTTAAGGCAATTACCTAAACAGCCGAAATAAATGTTTTACAAATATTTTAAATTTCCAATATGATTTTTTTTTTATATTTACCAATGCTTTAGGCATTTTCTACTCGTATTAAAGGCATTTATCAACATAGCATTGTGAATGAAAGATCGATGAAATATAATAATTATTTTGCTATTGCGCCATCTTGCTCCACAAGACTCTACTTTGATACTTTTAATTCAAGATTGTTATTTGGTGATATATTTGCCCGTAACTTATAAATTAATTATAATTATATCTTTCTACAAAGAAATTTAAGAAGACTTTGGAAATCCAATTTGAAAATATAAAGACATTATATAGGAAGCAGATAGAGAAGTAATAAGGTGTGATCTCCGAAACGGAAGATATTCTATTAGTAATTAGGATATTCAAATAAAGTTTTCTTTAGCTTGAATCAAATCAGAGATCTTTAATTACCACAGACAACAGTTTTCTCTTACAGATCGCTATAATAAGCAATTATAAGTTTAATTTGTAATCTATGAATACATCTTACTTAATATAGTTATAGTGGGTTTTAAAATTCACTACCTTATTACCATAACATTAAAGTATTAATTGTACAATTATGAATGATATATTTATATTAAACAAAAGTGATCCTCTTGAATGATTTGAAAACCATGTAATACCCCACAGTGAAATAGATAGATAAAATTTAAAAAGGTTCCTCCGTACCACGATCTCCGTAGCCGAGTGGTTTGCACGCCGTTTTCAATGTAGAAAATTAACTTTCCTAGTCTGTGTGTTGTGTAACCTTCGTTGAGCTCAGATACTCCATAATACTCATCTTGGAATCTGAGCAAAGTATATGATGTTGTCCAATATTTATTTCATTATCATAATCAGCCCTTTTACGCTCCCACTGCAGGCGCTCAGACCTTCCTTATGGATGGTTAAGGAGGATGGGCCATGAACCTCCACGCTGGCCCGATGTGCATTGGAGGGTTTTAACGACTGCAAATGCAGCCGGGACCAACGGTTTAACGAGCCTCCCGAAGCACGAAGTATTAATATATAGAGATAATAATTTTTTGGTCACCCATCCCGTGACTAACCCTTGCGAAAGTTGCTAAAGATCAACGATCACGGCCCGCGGCGCTTGCCCTCTACGCCACCGATGTAGCTCTCTGGCGTAGTGGCGTAGATTTATTTATTTTTAATATTTATTTATTTATATGTAATATGTATGTAATCTTACGTAATATACGATGAACCTTTTAAGATTTAAATTTTAGATATTTGAATATTCAGTAATTAACTAGATGTTATTAAAATGAAATTAAACCTCCACAATTCTTCTGATCTTACGTAAATGTTTATGTATATTTCTTCTAAAATTATTTTGATAATTGGTTGTTATTTAAATTACGAAAATCACATTCATATCACGACAAGGCCTTTGAATACGTGACAATAATTGTCTTAACTACTACACTTTGTACATTATATGCACAACTCCTTGAGGTGTAAAGCACCAATTACCACAAGAGCCTTGCCATATAACACTAATGCGTTGTTCTCACGGCTTACTGTACAATGGGTGTGTTGACGAAATCTTTGGCGCTCACCCTTGGATCCAAATCTTCAAGGTGTCTAGTAATATTTCTTTGTTTTAAAACTAATACGATTATTTTGACTGCCTTAGCACGAATTTTTTTTATTGCTATTCCTATAATTGGTTTGGTCAAATTGCTGGCAATTTTTATAATTGTCTAGTAACAAAAGTCACAGATGGCCTTAAATAATTTTAATTTTTGTCTAATACAGAATCTAGAGTTGTACTTTAAATAGATATTCAAATAACATTCAAAATAATTTTGTGCATATTTGATCAACAAGTTTACATTCGCATTTTTATTTTATTATTTATATGTATATAATTTATTATTAAGGAATCTTTTTCTTAATTTTATTACTTACTCTCTTTAATTTATATTCTTATAACGTTGTCTAATTCATATATGGTCTGTTTGGTCTCAAAGAAATATCAACACTGATAGTACGAGAGCTTGTTACAAAAAATTGTAGGAGTATTGTCACGACTGATATTTCAGTATGTTAATATAATAAAGGTATTAGGTAAACCTGGTGACAGGGCGTTATGAAGTTGTTGAAGTGGCAAAATGCTTTAAAAGTGCTTCGTAATTTGTGAAAAATTACTACGTCGTTCGTCTTTCAATCTCTTTCCTTCGTCTAATCTTTTTTCTTAGATATCATAGTACACTTGTTAATCTAGCTTTTCTTTCTTTCACATTTCGATATGCTTCCATAGCAAATCCCACGTTAGAACTCTCTGGCTATAATCTTTCACAATTAAATAAACCTGAATTCGTTTACCTATAATAATAATAATATTTTATTTATTTATTTCTCCGCATATTACACAGTTACAATTGTCATTTTATTCTTGTTCTATCTGGACGGAGACTGGTGACAAGGTTTCTTATGTTATAATGCTTTCTATTTTCCTCCTACTTGTATTAATTATGGAATATAAATGTTTTAATCTTATTGATAACTATACTTATACGAGTATTATAAGAGAAAATATTTGATTGTTCGTTTGCATCGAACATGTTCCGAACAACCGGACCGATTTTAAAACTTCTGTCATCTTCGTTAAACTACATTATACGCGAGTGATGTATATAATATGCAGGCGAAGTCACTACGTAAAAGAATGTTTTATGTATAAAATATTACACTGTTTTAAAGCATAAAAAAACATTTTCTAATTTCAGAGCATTCTTAGAGAAAAACATATTCAACTTGGAAGTGAAATGTAACATCACAATTAAAGGAAAATACACTGCAGTCGGAAGGCTATTACTTTTTCCCATTAATGGCGAAGGAGACTCCAAAATAAAGATAAGTAAGTACATAATATCAATCTACTTATTAACAACATTGATTCATTCCTAGAATGATACGCGAAATGATGTTTTTTTTAAATATTTATTAAACAATTAATACAAACGTTTCGTATATAATTTTAATAATGTGAATGTGTCCAAAAAGATTCTCAACATCTTAGTCTAAGTGAACACCTGTAAAGGGTCCGAAACGTAAATAAAACTAAATACAAACGCGATGAAACCGTTTCAAAGTTTTTTCGTTTATGGATAGTGCGCGTGAAAATATAAGAAATCAATATGGATTTCAATATTAAATTTCGCACAATTGTATTTTTCTTAATTTGTCAATTATATAATTATTCTATTGTCTTTAAAAACTTTATTTAACTTTAACTAATTTTAGAGTAGAACTTTAACTAATTATAATTAGTGTTAAAACATAAAATACCTATACTTCTCTCGTTGCTTATTGTTTTTTGCTATAAAATATAGAACATGTAAATATAATGCCATTCATAAAGACGCAAGCCACCAATTTTTGTGCGAAGGTATTGTAGGATTCGGAAGGTTTCTCCGAACGACTTGTAACTCATCGTCAGTTACAAGTTGTTTAAAAATACAATACTAAGTGATCGTATTTTTGGACTGCGCAAGCCTTTAGAACGAATATAATGGTGCCTCTTCGTGGATGATACTATTTATAGCGATAAAAGAAACTCAGTATCTCATTTATAATTATAGTACTGAATTTTATTTAGGCACATAAAAAAAAATAGTTTAAATTTAGAGAACTACAAATCGACTACTTTGAATTTCCAGTCAACTCCATAATAGCGTTGAATATAAAGACGAAGTATTACAAGGACTCCGAGGGCCGCGACCACTTCGGCATCAAGAGCTACAAGTACACGTTCGACTACGGCGAGCGTATCATTTACACCATCAACAATCTCTTCAAGGGCAACCCTGAGTTGAGTAAGTGTTGCACTGTTACACTTTCGCAATTTATTTTTTCACGGTTGATTGATATACCGTAATAAAGACTACTCACATTCATAGGAAAAAGGTAAGAATAATTGTTGTTCTAAAATAATAAAAAATAGAGATTTGAAAAAAAAAAACAGTAAGTTAGTAGTAAGTAAGTAGAAAATATGGTAATTGTTTTCTATTCTAATATTATAAAGAGGAAAAATTCGACTGTTTCTTTGCATTGAATAGGAGCCGATATTAAAAATTGTTTCAACTACGGCAAGCTATTGTACATAGGAAATACATGGGTGACATAAGCTATAATTAAGAGAGCGAAGTCTAGAGAAAACAACTACTATTCTATAAAATAATTTTCTTAAAATGAAACCTACTTAATTAAAAAATAAAAATCGGTTTGTGTTATTTGATGTGTAAAAGAATTTAGATTATTAATATAAACTTTTTTAATAGAAACTAATTCGTTTAAACATAGGTATATACTTTTGTTAGGACTGTTTAAATGACTTGTATACTCGATAATAGGTACACGTTAAAAGTAAGTTAAAAGTAAAATAAGTAGTTCGGTGGTGTAATGGAGATGCGCTGCGGCCCGTGATTTTTAAGTTACTTTTCAAGGATCGGTCACGGGATGGATGAACAAAAATCACAATCTCGAGCTCACCGTGCTTAAGATAGCACGTTAAGACGTTGGTCCCGGCTGCATTTGCACATCACGCTTTCCCAATACTTTGTGGAGGGTGTTAAAAATAAATAAATAAATAAAATAAATAATACCCTGCGTGGTGTGTCATGGCCCATCCTCCTTATTCATCCAAAAGGACGGCCTGAGCCCCTGTAGTGGAGACGTAAAAATCCTAACGATGAAATGAAAAGGTTTAGGACCAAATATACTAAACTAACGCAGAGTCTGAGCAATTTCATAATTGCATCGATGCCAAACCAGTTTTAAGCAATATACCTCCTTACACACCTTTGCGATGCAGTGGCATTTTACTTAACAAACCAGTCTCGAGTAGAGATGGCATGGAGTAAAATTATCGATAGCGTTTTATATGTACCACAAATAACTTTGGAAGTTCATTTATTACCATTTTTTACATATTTTTGTACTATTAATCTTTAAAATACATGCATGCCTTCAACCCATTTAAAAGTTGTTTCCTGAAACTGCTTGCATTGCGTAGTCACAGTAGTTATATCCCAATAATACATATTTTCAACATAATCTATACAAGAATTAATGAAATTTTCCGATAAAAAAAATCCTGATAATGAAAATTATTTTTTCCTAATCTAAATATATTTTTTGCAGATTGCATGATTATTTTCAATATTTAGAGAAATAGCACATTTTTCATGAAAATGTGATATAATAAAACCGTATTATTGAATTCTTTTGAAATTTAAAATGCTAGTTTTTATTAGCAACATAGTTTTTCTATTTAATATCAAAATCTCCTATAGTGACAAAAAGATGTTAAGTAAACATTCTTCTTTGGCGAATCAGCAAATGAAGTAACCACTGTTCAGTAGACAACTTCTAATAGCATTTAAGAAAACAAAAAGTTGAAGATAATTGCGATAACTTTATTTAAAAAGTTATCAGCAGGATAAATTTATACATGTAACTACATTCCAAGTGCGCAACTTTAGTCATTATCGATATGAAAAAGTGAATCGATAAGTCATTACATCACTAGCTAACTGCGTTTTGCCAACCTGACCTGCGACACGGTACTTTATTCTTACACAATCTCTTAACCCTGACATTGTTTGCACCAGTTTGACATGTAAACATTACTCAAAGGGTGACGTGAGGATAAGGATGGAGTTGATCAATGATTCATGCAAATGACCTAAAGATTTTGCATATTTAAATAATTTATAAAAAACGTGATTGTTCTTGTTTTGTTTACATAATTTTACGGCTTCATTTACGTTATGTTTTTGTGAATATTTTTTTTTTATTTTTCCTTTGGAAATTTCAAAAGATTTAATTTAGTTTAACTTTACGATTCGATGTGCTTTCACTGTATAGTCTAGCCTTTTAATTAAATGGCGACATTCAATCCCATTATAGGGTAAGCCGCCTTATTGATCGGCTGAATGTACCACTTGGCTGCGACATATCCATATAATGTATGTAATTGTAAATTACCAAGAAGACATGAGCATTTATTTTTAATTTATAGTGGTATTATTGTAGGTGTTAAAACTTAAAAATACCTAAAAAAATCTCTTAAACTAATAAAAAACCAAAATAATTGAAGTATTTAAGAAAGAAAAGACAGTGATATGTGTATGTGCAAAGATATTAATTGCGTCAAAACATTATTAATTTTTATGGACGCCTAAAAATTATATAGACTTAACTTCTAATTAATAGATTAAAACCTTATAATTGTATATATTAATTGATAAATAATTGAGTCACTTTAATGCCATGGGATATGATTGAGATTTGCTTTTAGTCAATTGAAAATAGTTTTTAATGCTCATTTTCACTCAATGCACCATCCTCTTTCTCTGTCTCTCATTAACAGTGGCTTTAATATCGTTTTATTTCGGATGATCGAACCATAATATATATTATTTTCTTATGTCAAAACCAGACCATTAATTTTTTTTTTAGTTCACCTTAGTATTTTAACCCCGGATAACTAAACCATATTTGTAGATAGATAGTAACAACAACAAATTTTTTTAAAATATTTCATGTATTTATTAACAATAGGAACTGATTACATTTTATTTTAGTGTGGTTTAATTAGAAGTGATATGGAATACCTTTATCAATCGTCATTATTGTGCGAACCGCTAATAGCATTTAAGAATTTCATGCATCGATGTTTGTCATCTTCCGAACCTTTGATGGACATAAATTACATATTTTATGCACATTGGTCACGTAACGAACGTTTCATGTTCTGAAGTCACCGTTTGTAAGTACTCTCAGAGCCAAGGCTCCATTATTGGTCTCCCATCTTCATGGCAAAACCAAATTGTAGTTTGAGCTTCTTCTTAGTTCTGATATATCTAGTTGGAGATGTAAATAGCATCGATACTACCTAGATCTATCATATTATAAATTAATAAAAGGTGCAAGTCATATAATCAGATGCAATAAAGACAGAAATCATAAAAAATAAACTTTTTATAGTAGAAGTCACTCAAAATATATACATTGAAATAAAACTAAAAAGTATTTCGTGTATAAATAATGAAAAATATCATACATACCTTTGGGAAATAACGTACATACGTTGTAACTAAACTTTAGTCAACTAGACGACGATACAGTCGTAGTGATATGTCCTTCTAATTATCATGTAATCAATAAAACTTATGGGGTCAAAGTATTGCATTTCGTAAAATATATTTTTGTAGTGTAATAAGGCTCAATTATTATTCCGCCTACAAATATGTTAATAACAACTTTGCATGCTGTATGAAACGTCTGTGGAAACTTTCAAAGAATGTGTTCCCTTGTAAAAACTAAATAAGTGAAATAGCAATATTGCGTTTATATAATATATTCCTTACTTGGTAATATCAATAGTTGAAACAGAATCAAAGAAACTAAAACTTGTATGGTGTTATAAATAAACAAGGTTTTAGCGTTGGAGCAAATTTACGCTGAGACTGCACTTAGTATAAGTTAAAATTCATATTATTAAACAGAAAATTAGAATAGGTTAACCGAGTACGAGATTCTACGGGAATACGATTTACTCCTAGGAGGTATTTTATGTATAATAAGAATTTGGACCAATACAAAAATTGAAATTTAAGCTTAAATTTACTTATTTTATGTATAATAAGAATTTGGACCCATACAAAAATTGAAATTTAAGCGTAAATTTACTCTACCGCTAAACCTTGTCTCTTATTAGCACTGATAGCTAGAAGCACACTGGTGCAGCAAAAAAAAAACTGTTATTTGAAGTTATTGCCTTGATGGCCATCTACTTTTATATTTGTTTATTTCTGTTTAAGGTTCTGTTTCGTTAAAGAAATCTTCTGGTTGCAGAGCAATTAATTTCACTGTCCAATTACTATTATCCTACTAATATTATAAAGGCGTAAGTTTGTAGGTTTGGACGTTTGTTACTTAAGGGCGCATGTTTATGTGAACGCTGCTTAAACGGAAAGAGATATACGAATGCCTTCTAAAGAAAAGTTGGACAGCTTTAAATTATCTAAAAAAAACTTCGTATAAGTGTATTTTAAGTTTTTGTTCGACTTTAGACGATCATTTGGGTAGGTGATATTATTTTTATTTAAGCTTTATTGCACAAATTAAAATGTACAAATGGCGGACTTAATGCCATAGGGGCATTCTCTACCAGTCAACCGGAGAGTTGTAGAAGAGAGCTTAAAAAAAGGCGGTGCAACTATGAAACAGAGAGCCAAACAGTTACAATGTGAACAATTAAATTACAACTATCAATATCTATGCATAAATTTACATACACATACATAACATACATAAATACATATATTAATATATATATATATATATATATATATATATATATATACATATATGTATATAAACAAATAAATATTTATACTTACATAAACAATTTAACCACAAACCACAGAAGAATTCAATAGATGTTCGCGCAGTAGACGTTTGAAAGCAAGTTTATTTGGAGCAGCTTGTATGTGGGAAGGCAGTACATTCCAGAGTCGTATAGCTTGAAGCGAAAATGAATTGGAAATGAAACCTGTCCGGTGAGAAGGAAAAATGAGAGTTTGTTTTCTGTCTGAACGAAGATTACGGCTGTGAGAAGCACCTAGATACTGAAATTTACATTTCAAATATCCAGGTGCACACGGATCTTTAAGTATAGAATAGAGAGTGGAAAGAATCCTCAGATCCCTACGCTGGCGAATTGTTAGCCATTTCCTAAAGGCAGAGACATGATCATATTTACGAATGCAGAAAATAAAGCGAATGCAATTATTGAGTAAACGATCCAGTTTGTTTAGAAGTTCCTGCGTGATGTCAGCATAACACACAGCATAATCAATGATAGGATGATTATTGATTGGACTAGGAGGATTTTAGTGGAGATGGGAAGGAAATTTTTGAATTGATAAAAAGACCTAAGTATGCCAATTACTTTACTACAGACAGAGTCAATCTGCGTCCTCCAGTTCAGTGAGCTGTCAATGCAAATACCCAGATCGACAACGTGAGGGGCAAACTTTATTAGATTGCCATTAAAATTAAGGGGAGTGACAGAGCTCATATCCACCCTCGCTAAAAATCGCGTACTACCCACTATGATACCCTGACACTTGTTAGGGTTGACCCGAATTCCAAATGTATTTGACCAGTCAGAGATCTTTTGCAGATCCTTATTTATCGAGCATATTGCTTCATCCAGGTTATTTGTCTCCGTATGTGCGTTAATTTGCAGGTCATCTGCATACAAATGATGAGAGCTGTCAAGAATAAAAGAAATTGAATTAATAAAAATCGATAATAGTAGGGGAATCCTTATCAAAATAAATATGCTTATCGTCAAAAAAATTAAATGTACTAAAAATAGTCTTTTACACCAAATGAATTGGATAATTGGATGAATTTAATAATTTAGATTTAACTACGCTGTTTTTGAGAAAAGAAAATAACCTATATTACCGACTTTCTAAATACTGTTTTGTGTGCATATATCTATTACTACTTACCAGCATTTTTTTAAATGTATACAACAACATATAAATTTATAAAGACTGTGGCAATGATTATTATTGTTTTAATAATAAAAATAATCAAAGCAACGACGGTTAAGAGAGCGTTTAGTAACCAGAAACAGCTATTCGAGGTGATATTGGCAGTCTACAAACCCAAGAAAATTATCATAAGTAAGGCTTATGTAGTGCTGAAGAAGGATGAAAATTGTTTGTTTGTGTTATACTGTGTGTGTGTGTGTTGACAAAATTAATGCTTCATTATTATTATTAAAAATATTAGCTATTCGAAACAATAATCGATTGAATAAGTGCCGGGAATCATCAACGAAAAGAGACGGCTGCAAGGTCTGTCGCATAACTATATTGGTTGACATTGGATTGCTCTCAACGTTCAATATATATTGTAAGATCACATAATGTAATATGTTTAATATATCGGGTTGAACTCAATGCAATTGAGCGTTGAGTGCATTGAATTCAATGTCAATCAAATGGAATCTAATTTCGTCATGCGGTAAGCCTGTTGAAAACCATAGACAACAGACAAGGGAGAATGTATGGATACTTCATATAACAAAATGACTTCTTTTAAATCGGGTTGGAAGCAAAAATACAACAAGTAAAACCTTGTGACACTAATGAGAATCATATGGAAACTAAGGGAAGTTACGATAAACGCGCTAAGCAAAATGTCAATTCACATAATCTCAGAAACTCAGAAGAAGTAATCTTCAAACAGCACTATATTTGACCCATATAATAGAAATAAACAAGAGCTGTGTGCAAAACCAAAACCTATGTTTTGGTACTCCATTGAAACGTTGTTAAGTCGAACTTGCGCAAAGAGGATTCTTAACCGAAAAGAAGAAAAACGTTGGTTGTATGGCAACCCCTTAAATAAATTATTTTAATCTATTTTTTGTGTATTTATTATTTTATAGCGCCAACAGGGAAAATTTAAACAGTCTGATTATCACGGTTCATGAGATGAGATAGTGACAGACTGACAGATAAACAGACGAGGGGACGGACAGCGGAGTCCTAGTAATATAGTCCGTTTTTTACCCTTTGAGTATGAAACTCTAAAACGAATCTCATTGCTGTTGCAATGATACTATTGCATTTCCATCGATAAAGTTAATAATATTGAGGATGCAGTATACTACATTTATTCAATCTCCTTCTCAACAAAGCTTGATTTTGTCATAATAAGGATTATTTTACGATTTTTAAGCCTGTTTATATATAACAATAAACATTTTTATTTTAGAGTTCCTATGTGACAACCACCATTGTAAGATAATCTAGGCGATGTAGTTCTTCCCAGTTTTTTTATATTAAAACAAAACTACTGATCTAATTTCCTCAAAGTTTTAATGGCATTATTTAACTCTTTCAAACAATAAAAAAATTGCAATAAGGATACAATAAAACAGTCAAATTGAAAACCTAATCTTATTTTTGAAGTTAGTTAAAAATAAACGACTGTAAATACTAATACCACGCAAACGAAGTTGCGGGCTAAAGCTAGTATTTTCATACTTATATTTATCATCATCATCAATTCAGCCGAGAGACGCCCACTGCTGACTCCCCCAAAGATATACTTATATGTATATCTCACTAAAAATGGCAAATGATTGTATGTGCCGCCAAAATATAATTGAATGAATAAAAATATTTGAAGTTTATTCTTCGAAAATCAATATCTATAAATAAATAAATATCAAACAATAGATAGGCCTGGGTTAGTCTGGTCTCGGCTACATTTATACATAGGATGATTATATATGGCCCGTTCTCCCTATTCGATTCATTTCCATACTTTGGGGATATCAATATAATAATAATGAGGCCTCAGTTATAAAATAGCTGTCATGTTGATAAAAGACATATTGTATTTTTCTCTCTATCTTTATATATGTATTTTCACGCTAAATACATATATAGCGGGGTTGGTAGACACACTTTGAGCTTATGCCAAACGCAATCTTCATTTTCTAGTCGTTCTTCAGCTTCATTTACGTTAATTATTTTAATTTAGTTAACAATTTATTATTTCTCTTTTACAGGTAATACAGTGTTGCAGTTTCTAAACGAAAATTGGCGTATCGTCACTGAGGAATTCGGTCAACCAGTGGTCGACTACGCGTTAAACGTCACAATAAGCACAGCCAAGAAGTTCTTCGACGCAGTACCTATTGATGAGTTGTTATATGTACCTATACCGAAGTATTAAACAAATAAGGAATATCTCATACTAGACCATGTCTGGTGTGGGTCTAGCATCAGGCGGACTTTCAATACATTTTAGATGATTTATTATAGACGGCGAGCTCGTGATGAAATGTGCAAGCGCTGTCTAAAACTTATATTTTAGAATGTCGAAGCACTAAGAGTATATCATCATTCAGTACCTAGTGAGGAGGTCAGGCGAATATGTTAGTAATTGTTGAATATGTTTGTTGCATTAAATGATAGTCTGAGTGTTTTTTATGAACTAAGTACTAATAGTTTAGTAATAAATTATCTTTCAATCAATAGGAAGCTCTTTTTCAGAGCTCATTTTCATACCAACTTCTAAAATCTACTGAGTCGACGTGTTTCACGATTGTGCTTCTGTCAATATGAGTAGTTTTATTTAGTCTACTTTATAATAAATACTTATGTCTAATTACCAAAAAACCTTATTTTATATTAAGAATAAGGTTTTCGGTAATTAATTTTAAACTATTAAAAAAACACCTTTAATATGTTGTTACGTACTTTACCTCGCAGTTACCAGATATACTCGCTTCTGACCTCCGCACTGGGTACTAAGTTATTTATACCCTTAGTTCTACATAATATATCTGAAATATCAAGCTTTTGAAAACTCTTGCATATTTTTTTCACGATCTCTTAGACTATTAGTTGCTCATGTCACGAACGACGCTCGGCTTAGAACCGACGCGGTCTAACGTGAGACATCCTTAATGATACCGCTATATTTTAATACTCAAGAATTGTAATCGGCATTTTGGCCTAAACGATTTTGAGTGTATTTGACTTTGAGATAAAGTAATTTTCATATCAAACAATGCCTAGTATTTTAGGTCATTTATAATTATGAAGATGAAATATGCAATAATAATAACTGCCAAATATAAAAACTACATAAATTTTTATGACAGTCATCAATTGTCTTCAGTGTTGAACTGTCATTTTAATATTTTTATACAAAGTGTGTTAAAATTAATAACATGAAATTTTAGTCTACAGAATTCGGTGATAAATATTATTTGCATATCGAATTTAAAGAGATACTCGGCTACATTTATTCATTTGTCTTAGTAGTACTTTATCTCTGTCATACCAACTATTAAAACGAGATATAAAAAAAATGTGTTATTTGAAATATGATATTTAAGTTAAGAGATCTTCAATTTTTTGTTTTGCCTTTCTCGAACGGCAATGACGCTGACATTCTTAGCTAACATTAGTGGATCAGCCTGATTCTGAATTGAGAAAAGTAGAAAATCTCAACTGATTATTCTCAATGACTGAAGTTTTTTACATATCACTAGTTAATGAGTTCTAGTTTTTTTCAAAATACAATTAAATTATCATTAAAAATACTAAAATCAGAAACGAAAACCCGTTTAAGCGACAGTTTGAATACTTAACTTTAAATATTCAATTCAGAAACCGGGTGTATATCTTTCCAAAAGTTATATTTTATTGTACAGGTATATATTTATTGCCGTTTATTTAAGATTTTAAATGAATATTTGGAATTCATTAGTATTTGGAGATTTCTAAATTACTAATTTGTATATAGAAATTTTGTTTATAAGATTATTTCATACATGATGCTCTTAACATATTAAGGGAGGTTGTTTTTATTTAAAATTTACAATAAATCCAATAACTTATTTCTTCGGAATATGAATTATTAAAATTGGTTTTGGTAGTTTCGTTAAGATTGAATTGGTTGCCAAAGTATCATTGTATTTTCTAACCAAAAATTTATTATTTTATCAATAATATTAGCTGAATTTTAAAAGCATCATGAAATTTATATATTTATAATGTTTTAGTTTAAGTTATTAAAATATTCTGTCAGAAAATAGTAGATTGTGATTTTTAAACAAAAATGGGACTCAATATTTTTTGTAAAAATATTTATTTAATACTTGAAAGTACGTAATTACATAATTTTGGTACCAGTTAAAAAGAATTTACTTATTATGAATAGGGAAATGACATTTGAAATGTTTTGAGTGAGTTGAATTGTCTCTGCGGAATATTAAGAACAGTATTTTTATATTGTTAATAATAATTTTTTGATGAACCATTATATAATATATATAGTTATCATTGCAACTACAAACTAATGTTAATAAAATTATAATCCAAAATATATTGTTTTAATCTGTGGTTTTAATCCTTCAAACGAGGTTTGACGACATTGCATGGGACCGCGACCCTTTCGCGTTACAGGGTCCTAGACTAGTTTCATCACACGTAGAATGACAAGCTTGACCAACGTTTTGTCTACAACTAAATATCACTTTTCACTTTTGTTGAAAGTAAAATGTTGTTGGGGCGCATCTGAGAAAAATGACATTTAGGTAAAGATAAAACGTTCTCTGAGTAGCTCGATTGCGTAGTGGATAAGCGCCGCAGCCTGCGTTCGTTGTTGTTAAGCGACTTTCGTAATGGTCGGTCATGGGATGGGTGACCAAAAATTATTAACGCAAGCTACGCCGTGCTTCGGAAGGCTTAAGTCCAGTATTCTTCGTGTTGTCGGTAACAGCGGTCTCTTACCCAGTTTCTCAGCTGTCGAAATGGAATGGGTATAATGGGTTCCGGTCCACTGGGCTTTCTGCTTGACCCTTCTCTGGCCAAGCTGTCTGCCGCGTCATTTCCTATCGACCCGCTGTGTCCCTTGATCCATTGTTATGTCAGTTTATTTCTTTTAAATACCTCTGTCAACTTAAAGTGACATTCTTGTAATAGACCTGATGTCATTAAATTGTTATTTAAAGCTTGTAATACCGATGCACTGTCATTGAAAATACGGATATTTGTACCTTTTACTCTCCAACTTATAATTGCCGCAGCAGCCTTAATTATACCCACGCATTCAGCCTGAAATATTGTGATGTAGAGTCCCAGTATCGTGGATATGTGGATGTTTAGATCCTCCGAGAAGACACCAGCACCTGTACCTGTACACGTGCATATGCGTTGACGCGATTGCCAGCGAATGTACCTTACAGATCACATGTCGATTTGATCGCTTGCATTTTCCGGAAAATAAAGTCCTTACAAATAAAAGGAATGTACACACATTATTTTAGTCAAAGGTATATTTATGCTCTTAAATATTTGTTCAAGACAATCATCATTTAGTCGGTTATGCTATTTACATATATTAAACAAACGAAAATGTTTGCATAATTACATTGCTATTTAAAAAATAAATTTTGCCTTCATCTGCCGAATGGAATAGGTTGCAAATATGTTGCCTATTTTTCGTTATCATCAGCGAATTAATGTCCTCACTGTCGGGGATCCTTTCCTGTAAATGGAATCGAATCAAGGAGAATGGACAATGTCCCACCACTTGGTAGCGGTGCGGATTAGTAACGACTGCAGAAGGAGCCGAGTTCAACGGCTTATGGTGCTTTCCAAAAGATGATAAATTTTTGGCCACCAATCCCATGGTCGACGCTTTTATGGCTTTTTAAACTATTAAAATGATAATTAAATAATTTATTTCTCACCACAAATGACACAATATAAACAATAATAAATGACACAAACAGTAGATTTAGGAAATTTGGTCACTTGTGGGAGACTGGTGCCTGTGTAGGTTTTAGAACCGTATTACAGATCACCAGGCCCCCGAAAATACAGCGCATCTAGTGTATACACCTAGACAATCTTTGAATGTAACATCTATAACATTTTATTAGTAATACATGAATATTAAACTACAAAACGTAACAATTTGTATCGAATTCTTCTTTATTTTTCTCTTAAAGAAAACTTAGAACGCTATACGTTCGACGATTGAATATAAAACTCCTATCAAGTATGTTAAAGTCTAGTTAAGGTAGCAAATATTGAAGGATATTTGTACGAATTTATATCCTTAATTAAGCTACCTACAAGAAGATTGGCATTCTCTACGATGCTAATCTCCTTATTGTTCTTGGTTAGACTACAAAATAATACGTATAAATCTACATATGATACAAACGAGTGTCTCAGCCAAAATTTCCTATGGCACTAAGACAAATATTTGTATACTGTAATACCTACCTAGCAAGTTTTCGAATCCAGAAAAACATTCGTTTATATGTTTTTATAGTGTTATTACTCTTGTGGTATTATAGTAGTTATATTATCCTATATTTTATCACCCGAAAAAGTCTCAAACTAAGGCTGCGTTTCTACTGAAGCTAGAAGCTGTAATAGGCTAGTTGACTACTTCTTATATTTGATTAATTTTGCATTATTAAATTATAAATAACTAATTTAATGCCATGTATTTATCAAATTATTGTAATATTGTACCTATTGTTTTCAAGTATTGTTTTCAATAAAATTTATTTTCTTAAATCTATAATAAATATATAAGTTTAAATGTATCATATTTTCCAAACATATAACAGAAACCTGTATGTTCACTTGTAGGACACAAGCAGAAATTCTTTTATCATTGGTTAAAACACAGATTTTTTTGTTATTCCCAGACTCGGCAAATTATTTAAGATACATCATCCTAGATTTACACAGGTACTTAAATTTATATCGTCTGCTTTGTTAACACACTCTAAAATAGCTCTGGTGGTCATTACATTGTAAAAATGAATACAATTATTTAAATAATGTGGTCAGCTCGTTCGATCTGCTATGCGGAAGTTAAGCAAATTTCGCAAGGGTTGTATATATCATGGGTGATCAAAATTATTAACTCGAGGTCCTCTGTACTTTGGAAGGAACGTGGTCTCATGATTTAAATCATTATCCGACCAAAATAAGTAAACACGTTTCAATTAAATGTTTTCACTTTTTTCATTATCGATTTACTTTAGGCGGCCAATGTTTCGAACCAAATACTAAGTTTAAGTTTAGGCTTCGTTTTATAATAAGACAGTATAAGTTTATATTATTTATTTGCACCATACAGAATTCGATACAGTGTCTGTAGACTTTGACTATGACTGTATAATCATGATAGATATTTACGAAATTATCGTATTTAAAGTAACAATCGCTTTGTAACTAATGATGGTATGAATGATCAAGAAGTTTTTATTAAACTTAATGAAACCTGTAGAAAGATTGCAGTTATCATTCAACTATTTCGTTTGACTTTATCAATAGCTAGCTAATCTTAGATTTTTACAGTGCTACTTATAAACAAGGTTTAGCGTTGGAGTAAATTAACGCTGAGACTGCTCTTCGTATTAGTCAAAGTTCATATTATTAAACAGAGACTTAACCAAGGTTAACCTAGTACGAGGTTCTACTGGAGTAATATTTGCTCCTAGAAGTTATTAAATTTGCTTATTATCTGAGTAATAATATGAATATGGACTAATAATATGAATACGACGCTAAACCTTATAAACAAGGTTTAGCGTCGTCGGAGGAAATTTACGCTAAAATTACAAATTTGGAATTAGTCCATATTCATATTATTACTCAGATAAAAAGCAAATTTACTAACTTTGCTGCTAGAGACAAACGTTAGATGCAAACGATTGCGTCTAACGCTTGCCTTAGACAATTTGAATTAACGATATCATTCGTCAGATAGTTGTAGCGTTAAGTTCGTTAATATCTTTCAAATATCAAATTCTAAAATTATACTATTAGCCCCCAAGTCATATTTTTCTTTCATGCCCATTAGCAAGCGACCTGTGGGAGTAAAGTAGTTGGGCCATCCTACTTTTTGATTCCTAATTTACGGTATGATTTTGCAAGGTTTAATATTTAAATTATTTTTTTTTAGTTTTTTTTGCGGATATAGAATGGATACACCTTATTTTGTAAATATACTTATTTAAGTCACATTTTAATGATAATACTCTGTTTATAGCAATTTACGTATACACGACCGGTATTTGTGCAAGAAAACAAATGTGTTATTTTAATGTAAATTCAAGTTTTTAGTTTATATAATCTTAAAATAAATTTCAGTAATTTAAATTAGTTCTACTAAATAATATCACAAATACTCTTTCCAAATATTGTTGATTAATACGAAGCCTTAATATTATTGTAAATACTATTAAAACCTAGTTGAATCAATTATTTCTGTGACAATGTTTTAGGCACTCAACAGTTATAATTTCCTACTTACTCTTATAGACTTATTTTCGTTAATTGACAAGTTGACAAATGTTCAGAATCCCTGTAGGTAAGATAACGCTTAATTAAAGTCAAAAATCAAACACACATCCATTTTCAGTAACCTAACTAAGAAACGCCTAATAGCAGATTAGTTTAATTTTATACAACTATTTGTTACTTTTATCCCTTGACATATTTATTACCTGTCTTATACGCAAATTCCTAACGCATTATAGGCGCCGCATAGCGTCACAAACATAAACCTTTGCTACTTTGTTTTCATCAAAAAGAAAAAAATAGTATTTATTGTACAGGTCAAAAGTATCTAATTTACTGCAAAATATTGACATCGATTTTGACTTTTAATTTAAAATTTATTCTTAAAATACAACATTTGGAGTGTAATTTTCCGGGCTTGTCTAACCAAGTGCAGGACATTTTTATCGCGTTATATACCATAGACGTTTGTTATTGAAAACTTCGAGACTGTTGTTCGTTGTAATCGCCTAAATATTTAGGAATCGCCTAAGGTAAAAATGCATTTTTTTTTTCTTTTTGATGACTTATATCAATTATATTTTTATGATACCTTCAACGTATGTGAATCCATGATCCATACAATGCTTACTTGTTTAATAACTTAGATTTACTGTATCTTGTTTGGTAAGCTAAATAAATACAATCAATTCTACTAATCTAGCTTTTGCTTGCTGAATAGTGAATGTAGGCACAAGATTTTCGTTGTGAAATTGTATTTTTTTAAATAATCTTCATCGAAGTATAAATTACGCAAAGGCCTAATAAAAATCTAAATTTAAATCGATATCCTTCAAGTCGAAGTATGTTTATTAAACACTTACTGTTTTTGGTAGTCTACCTTGGTTCACTTCTATTATAATTGTAAAAAATAAACTAGTTTTAGACGTCAGAATATTTGAATAATAAATACAAAAAAAATCTTCTACAGATCTTTTATTTTCTTTAAATGTTGTTTTTTTTTGGTATATGTTAATTTTAACAATATCAAATATTATAAATAGCAAGTATTATTTGAAAAAAGTGTCTGCAAAAAGTGTACAATAACATTTATTTTAAAGGCGGTCCATATGTTCGCGAAACTTCTATTAAAATCGGATGGAGACTGAGCAAATTATCATTTTTGCCGTCCAACTTCAATAGTTACTTAAATTTATGAGTCGCCTTTAAGATAAATATTATATTTTACTTTTCGGAAGTCGGTTATTCCAGATATTTTATATACTGATGCGATTTTGATATTTTCTTATAACACCGTCTCAGATCCATAAGCTTAGGAAGAATTTTGAAAATCAAGTGATAATCGCAGAAAAATTGATGAACGTAAACCAGTCCAACGTAGATTATATTGGTTAAAAGTAAAAAGATTCTCTTAATCGGTATCGTGACTAATAAGTTTTCACTAGTGCTAAAACATGAAGATTAGTTTTATATTATCAAGAAATAGTGTCAACCCCAACAAATTTAGTTTAATCCAAGTTTCGATTTAGCAAAAAGGACAAACATATCCATAAAAATTTCTACCATTACTTAGTAGGATTGTTATGAGTCGGCTTTTTTACGCTTCGAGAGATCTTTTCACAAACTAAATGTTCTGTCTGCCTGGAGGCTATTGCAAAATAACCATCGTTAAGCCCAAAGGAACGTTTATTCCTTTCATAAAAAAGGAACAGCTGATTAAAGGATAATATTTTTGATATGAAAAAATGCTTTAGCTTTCTCTCGGACAATTTCGAACGATGAGCTGTTTAAGCAAAAACAAATAAAGTATAGGCGATGAAGATAATGCATACATAATTACACCATTTTATGGCAGGAGCACATGAAAAGATGCGACCGATATGCTATAATATGGGTTATGTGGAATCAAACATAACGTTTAGTTTTGTAGCAACTTACTAAGACACTAGTAAGTTCTGGTCTCAGTATTCGTGTACACATAACTAGCTCTTCTGACAGATAGTTACACAAACGTCCATTAAAATTATCATTTGTTTAAAGCGACATTACCCATACAAATTTGAAATTTATTAGAGCTTAAAGGCGTCATTAAACCTTAAAGGACATTTGTGCAACTGACCGTAAGGCTAATAATCTGGTATGAAAGATAGTAAGCTTGGTGTCTCAAGGTTATTTTACTGTACAACATCTATTATATTGTTATATATTTTGTAATTTATTTTTCTGTGTTATGCAATAAAGTGATAAATAAATAAAAATTTAATAGCAGGCTACCATAGCATAAAAAAGTAGCTCGTTACATTTCACCAACCTCTTTTCTGTGTTCTGTGTCACCAAGCATAAAAATGGTCGTATCAGAAAACTAACAGAGATGTAGAAAAACTGTCGAATTGCTGTGCTTGTTTCTGAGTACAATCAAAGTTTTGGTAGATAAGTGGTTATAATAACGTAAGAAATATTATAATTATGTTATAAGCAAAACTCGATTTGGTTTGACATTTTTGCCCCATTACAATAAGATATTTGAACCAATATTGAGAAGTGGATTTCTCCCGACTTATTTATCTCTCTATACTGAAATAACTTATAAAGAAAAAGGTAAAAACATAAAAAGATAACACCGAATATACAAAATTCCATTTTTTTAAGACATGCACATAGTTGAAGATATTGGTTTTCGTTCTTGGTGTTATGATTTCTTTTAACATATTTCCCGCTAATTTATAGAAATTAGACGTTATTTACAAGTGATATCGTTTTGACCAAACTGTTTCTAAATAAGACAATCTGAGTACCTACCAGTATTCTTCGGGGTTCCGTTTTGACTCATTTTATCTTTTCTCGATACTATGACAAAAACTTTTACTTTTCTCAAAATTTTATAAAAAAATCCATTCTTGTTCCTATTATCTTTACGCAAATTCTCTCAAATATATAAATGAAATTTTAAAATTAGTCTACACACTTGTATGAGTATAATTAATTCAAGTTTTCCTTATTCGTTTTCCATTATGTTCCCTAAATAAATAAAAAAAAAAATAAGCTGAAACTTCACATTGGCAGAGTTTTTATTACATTTACATTCTTGCTTATTCAATGAAAACCAACAAACGATTAAATCTTTGCTCTTTATAATATTACTTTAAATAGAATAGTTACCATTTTAATGGTTTCCTTTTTAAATTTTTATTTCGTGTCATTTAAATATCATTAAACGATTTCGAAATGATAATCCGCTTTCCGTTAAGTAAAGAATATACCATACGTTATTATTTGGCAACAATCATAATATTAATCTACTATTTAGATAGCGTTATCACAATTTCAATTATTAGTACGGAATAATATTATGTATACGGTAAGCGTGCTCCATCTGCGATGCGGTTTAAGTAACTTTCGTAATATCCGGGCGTGAGATGGGTGACCGAAAATTTAATATCTCAAGCTACTCTGTGCTTCGGAAGGTACGTTAATCATTGATCTCGGCTGCATCTACAGTCATTAACACTCATTCACTGGGCTCGCATGTTGGGTAACTGCCATTCTCCCTATTAGATTACCGCCCAAGCACTATATGATATTAATGTGCTGATGATGATGATGATAATGATGTTAAATATTCCAAAATTATAAGTTTTTTTTTTTTAGATTAAACGGCCGAAATCGGTTTCAATTTTAATGACAAATATTACCTTGAAGATAATCAAAGCATCCTGTCCCTTCACCCAGGATTATAGGGGAGGTTTTAATTACAGTGTCTCTAATTAGAGACTGAGGATCATCCACCTCTGTGACATAAACAATCAACGAATGATTACCGCTGAACTCGTAACCGGTCGTCGTTGAAGGTCTAATAATGTCTAGTTGATGATATAAAGTAGTTTTACCACGAGCCAAGCGCAGTGGTGCAACCGACTTTAATTGTTCAACACACACGTTTTTTATTTATACTATTTCTAAATTTTGAAGTTTTACGTAATCCGTCCATCTTTTGTTTTATTGATAAAATGCGACCGTTTATTTCTAGTGTTATATTGAGCGTGTTGATTTTCTACGTGCGGAACGGCGAAACGAAATTGGCGCGTAAGTTTTGGTTTTTCTTTTCTTTTTAATAAATTAATATTAGTGGCATAGTTCTGTGAGAAAAAGAATCTGGTATAAAATATTTCGAAAAAAGAACTTGTATTTATAATAACTGATATCTAGTGAAAATGGGAACTGTAAATTAAAACTAGTAAATTTATGATACGGAATATTAAATAAATAATAAATCACAGCAAATAAAGAAAAATAGGAATAGACAATGACAATAACGTAGAGTAACAAAAAAAGCAAGAATAAACTATAAAAACATAACTTATAAATGAACTTCGAAAAAGGATGGCGTCTTTCCAGCCAGTGATCAAAACTGATTTTAAAATAAAAATAGATCTATGAATTTGCAATGTTAATCAAGCTAATTGTCACAAAACAGCGAATTAATAGACTAAACTTCTTATTTGCATAACTAGTTTGTCTTCAAAATAAACTGTTTGACGATATGAGATAATAATTTCATACTAGAAGCGACCGTACTAAAAGTACGTCTGCGATACGGTTGTTCCGATTTCATCCTTAGGGAAGGCCTGAAGACTAGCTAAGGGGAAATTAATACGCTTTTTCCGTTTTAAAACTCAACAATATTATTTTTATCATTAACAAAAACAATAAAACAAACCATATTGTTTAAATACATAAAACATATTAACAATAATATTAGTATATTGAAAAACAATGTCGAACACGTCGTTGAATGCAGCGCTATCGCATTATAGTAGTTTTATCGTATAAAACCTACGTCCAAAGGTAATAAGGTTTTATTTTATAGACCTCTAAGATGTGACAGCTGTTTTTATAACAGAATAGCATAACAGGAACTACAAACACCAAAACATCTATTGTGTGAATTGTGACCAGTGGTCCACAAATGAAGCATATATATGGTACGATACGTAACCAGCCTAGAAGATAAAAAAGCTCTTAAAGCCAGGAACATCATAGAGTTTTTAAGAAGCCACCAGGCTGAAAGAGTTACTATAGTTCTGGGGGCGAGTGACAATAAACCTTTTAGGTGGCAGTGATAACAGTTCCACATGGAACTGCATAACCACATAAAATTACAAATAATAATAATAATAAAATACTTCTAATAACGGGTATTAGACGCAATTTCTACACTGACCCGTTATTATAAGGTGTCAATAATGCAGCACGATAGTTTAAAAGTGAATAATAATAATTGCAGAACGCCATCTAGTTATTTAGTTTATCCTGGTTAAAACAATATTTAACGACTTTTACACCAATGCCGTATGATTGAATAATGAGCTGGCTATTCTATAAATAAGATGTTCAACTTGCGATTTTGTTGAGTTGCCGGGAGTTTTTTAACAAATAGTTGCTTAAAGTGACACCTTAAAAAACAGGTCGTTATGAAATTTTACTCCCAAGGGAGAAAATAAAGCCCTGCATCACTCGTTCCCTTACGTCAGGAAAATAAAACGGCAGCAATTGCTCGGCTTTCATTCCTTAACTTTATGTTGAATCAATCTTCGGTTTAAAGGTCAGAATTCGAACCAAAACCATTGATAATCTCAAGAATGTCCATCAGTGTAACATAGTATCTAAAACTGTCAAATCTATCCATTTGATTTTGAACTTTAAATTGTGAAAAGACAAGTTTAAAATAGAATAGATATTTTACTTCTTGTGGTCATCTACCGTGATATTAGATGAAGAATGAGGACTAATATGACCACAGGCATTAATAGATTACCGCAAACGATTAACATTGCGTTAGGTTGAACATTATAATTAATCCTAAGACGCCTTTTCACTACAGATCGTAAAGATTATTTACATCAGAAGCAGTGTCATAATTTTAACAAAATTATAAGAATGATGTCAAATAGAATAAACGCTGTAAAGACTAAGAATAGGCACTCTGGTGTTAAGTTAATTCGTACCTACTTGAAGTTAGATGTTAAATATAGCTGCTGCATAGCTTAAAACAAATAATTTCAACGCTATTTTTTACCAATTATCCATTCATCCATCTAAAAAAAGGCAGCCTTCAAACGTTGCAAACTGTAATTCTAATATGACAATTGTCAATGAGTCTTTTTAAAATACTATTTGATAAAAAAAATATATAAGCCGACTAAAAAAAATCAAAAATAATTCTTAAAAACAACAACGAATTCTATATTTGAACTTTATTTGAATTTTGAGTTCTAACTGCCAGATTTCCAATGAATTTTATTGAATCGCTTAAGTTATTTTCCAGAATTGTTTGACAATAGCTTTTTTCACAGTTGATTTTAGTTTAATAATAAAAATCTATTTCAGTGGTAACATATTCTAGATAATTTAATCGATGTATTTTTTGGAAACAAAAAGTTATTGATTCTGTAAAAAATCAATGGATTACTTTCGAGATTATACTCGGTCAAACAAAAGAGATACGTATATAAAGTCAAAATCATTCAGTCGAATTGAAAACCCCCTTTTTTGATGTCGGTTATTTTTTTTAATATATTGATTGTTATAGAAGCGAACCCATTGAATGCTTAGTTCGCGTCATTAAACGTGGCTAAAATAAAAAATAATAAGTTTAAAAAATAATATGTTTACATAATAAATTATAAATTAAAAATCCTTAGTCTAATCTAAAGGTTTATTTAATTTAAAGTTTGTAGAATGATGTAATGTTTATGCTAAATATAAAGTAAATATTTTTTCATACATTCCAAGTCTCTCATTTCATTAGTTTACAACGCAGTTTCGTTAAAGGAAGTAATTAGCACACATATAATGTTTTAAGAAAACGAGAATTCGTAAATATATGCTAAGTTATATGCCAGTTTGATAAAAAAAATGTCATTTTGGGCGAGCAAAGGCAAAGTGTAATTGTAATTTATTTTTGCCCGACTACGGCGGTGAAGCGAAAAGGAGTGCTATGATTTTGGCCAGTATGTATGTAAGGATGTTCATCTGTTCCCTTAAAACTTTGAAACTATTAATCGTAACTCGATAAATGAGGTATTATTAGTAGCATTTTTGCTGCCCGCGTACTGTAGATTATATGACGTCACATTAAATTGGCAACAGCGCCCTCTAAAGAGCATAAAGTAAGAAACTCAAAAATATATAATTTTTAATTATTCTGTTGATAGTCTAATCAAATGAAAGGGGTCAATTTGCAGAATTCAATTATATTAAACCCGAAAATTTATTAAAAAAAAAATTAGTTCATAAACTATAACCCGACTACAACTAAATCACACTCTAAAAAAGAAAAAAAAAAAAGAAAATGATTTTATAGCGATAGCTGTATTATTATTGTTTTAAACTTTTTTAAAACAATAATAATATAGCTATCGCGTAATTTAGCTGTAGTGGGGTTTTAGTTTTAGAACTGTTTTTTTTTTTACTTAATCAATTTATCCACAAAAGTTTCTAAGTATGGATTTGTATGTAATTCCTAGGTTTCTTAATATACAGCCATTCATAATCCTTTTTTGTAATTTAATAGAAAGCAATTTAGTGTCAAAATTAAGAGTTTTCTTTTTATCATTAACTGTAAAATATTCCTCAACAACAAAGACAAAAAAAATGTTTGTCTTTAAAAAAAACTAACACCAATCACAATATATCGATACCGATTAAGATATATACTTGAAAATTCTTTTGAATTCGGGTAAGACTTTGTTGGCCATACTTCAAAAGAATTGAAGATGATATCACCAACATAATTTAAAAGATATGAATGAATATATATTTTTGATATAAAAAAAAAACTACTTGTACCTAATTTCATAAAATTTTAATATCGAGATCGAACCGGTACGGTAAATATACTTTAAAAATGAAACATAAATACAAAATCTCAAAATCCATTAAAAATGTATTGTACATATACAAACTTTTTAAAATCGTTTAAAATAGTCATTCAATGTTTTATTCCAGCCGACTTTATACGTCCTTGCAACAATACCAGTAGCGAATGCCTGGTAAAAGCAACTCAAGATGCTATCCCAGAATTTGTGAAAGGATTACCTGATCTTGGAGTGCCACCCTTGGATCCCTTCACCATAGACAAACTGTCCATACCATTAAACGGACTGAAAGTTACATTCTACAAGGGGAAAGTGTCTGGATTCCGTAAATGCATTGTGGATAACATTATGTAAGTATTTTATTTTAAATATAAATCGGAATACAAATAGCTAATACATTTCAAAAAATACAAACAAATCAACTAAGGCAGAAAGTTTTACATTAGTCTTTATGTTAACTGTATGGAAACAGGCTGACAAACTAATTTTATTTTAGTGATAATGTTCAAAGATGTTTCAACGATGGTTCTTAAACCTTTACCTCTTCAACATGGATGATATTTATTTCGTGTTTTTTTTTCTATTTTCCAGTGTTTTAACAAAAATGCGCATTCTTTCTGACGCATGACGCATACGCTCTATGACGCATATTAGTTTTAAATAAAAGACATATTATATAAGTTAAGATATATAATGGTACCTACTACAATGTATAAAATCTAATATTATATACATGTTAACGGCACTGTCTTTTCCTATTCAAAGCACAGGGAGTAATACAATTACTGCCTAATAGCCTGTAATCATGTCGTCATCTTTCAACTTCCGATAAAAACGAATTAGAAGCAAGAAGTCGGCATCTCGCACGTTCATCAAAATAGCATATAACTTCTTTAAAAAATCCCATAATCAAACTTATACGTTAACATTACGGTACTTCTGATTTGTATTAAGGATTGCAAATGGAGCCGGGACCATGCCTAACGTGCCTTCCAAAGCACGGATTAGCTCGAGATAATTTTTTTTGGTCACCCATCCCATGACCGACCCTTACGAATGTTGCTTAACGACAACGATCATGGGCAGCGATGCTTATTCACGACCAATTTAATATGACTGTGTTAGTTACCGACTAATAACAAAAAACAGTGATAAATCCAATTGGTAAGGTATAAAAAACACGAATTGAACGTCATCATATGTGATAATTTATGTTTTTGTAAGAAAAACAACAAAAACACTTAGAATATTCTATTAGATGTTTTAAAATATTACCAACAAATTTTAAATTCTTGTAGTTAATAAATATATCCAGTACCTTGTAAGGTATAAAAAACGCAAATCGTATTCATCATAAATAAATGTTAATTGTCTTTTTGCGACAAAATCGGCAAAAAACAAAGCATATATTATTAAAAAGTTCGTCAAAAAAGTGTTAAAATTCTAATACACACACTTTATCAATATTGCCTTAACATGTTGTATAAACCTGTATAAAATTGAATTTTTTATAACAAATTTGAAATTGACAATTAAGATCAATAGTTCGCGGAAAGTTGACATTTTCGGGTAACCTGATTTGCTCCTGTTTTTTGAGTTCCGCACTTAAAAAGGGGGAAAACGGTCTTCCCTGTCCATCCATCAGTCTGTCAGCAAATCTTTTTCTCTTTGAATGTCATAGTTATATGGTAAATAATGTTGGAATTAACAACATAAAACTTTTGGGGGGTAAAGTAGATAATAAAATTCAATCATAATATTACGATTTTTTTTATTATTTAATTAACCGCTTACTATATTTTGTGACACATTAAAGACAAGGACTATGTGTAATTTTATGCACTATTGATGTATATGACATACATATATCGAATAGATTTAATATCGAGTGCAAGGTTATTTAGTACGTCATAATAATAAACTAAGCATACAAATTTTTTACCGACTTCAAAATCCAAAATGAGGAGATTATAATGTTCGACGCCAATATATGTTTTTTAATGTATGTTCGTCGATATTTCGAAATGTTTTATTTATCGATGGTAATCCTATTTAAATTTTATCATCATCATATCGCTTTTCATCATATATTTTGATGATATGTATTATCATAGCGACTTGATGGTCAGCGTGTTCTTGCTTTCTCAATTCAACATTTTTAGAGATTTTAGTGCGTGAAATTTTGCCAACGGATATTCTGCCATCTCTTCAATTTGTAGATATGCAACGTATATGATTTGGTCTACTCAGTTTTTTTTTTCACAAAATTTATTATTTAATTCTAATACATTGAATTGTATTTCCTGTTTTCGATAAAACAGTTTCCTACCATTAGTAGCTCATGAGAAGTATTTTTTAATTTTAGTCATTCATAATTAATGGTAATGAAATGATTTATTTTATAAAAATCAATCAACAAAAATAAGAAGAGCTTAATATAACATTTAATTATTTTGCCCTATTTTTGATACCCCATTACATTATGTTATCGAAAAAACCGTAAAATTTAGAAAGAATGCTACTTTGTTTGATAAAAATCGGAAGAAAATAAATACTGCATACATAACAAAAACAAAATTCCCTTTTAAAAGTATAGTAGTGTCATCTAGTGATCAGTAGCTGAGCTTAATGTAACATTTTCGTGTACTTAACAAACAAAACATTTTCATTTAATATTAACGACAACGATTGTACCGATTCAAATTAATTAAACCATTATTTAATCCCGCGTAAAGAGCTTAAATCATTTAATTATAGATTCGGAAAAAGATGACATGGGTTATATATATTACAATAACAAATTGAATTATAAACAATGGTTTCTAAGGTAACAATTTAATGCACTATATGAATTTCCACTTCCATTTTCATCCCTTTGTGTGCTTTTTTCGAGATACGATATAAGATAGACATATGCTGCCGCGGACTTTTTGTAGAACTTAAAGGGGGATCAATTTCTTATTACATGATTATTACGTAATTTCACCGTTTGCGCAGCGCACGAATGGAAAGCTTTAAAATTTTTCATTGCTGATACACTCCTATAAGCCATACCGTGATCTTATAAAGCCTTTCTCGATAAACATACTATTCAACACAAAAACAAATCAATGCTTTCCGTAGTTCATGAGATTATAGAGTTCAATCAAACAAACAAACAAACTCTTCAGTGATATTGTTAGAATATATTCGTGAAAAATGAGCACAAGCCCGCAGTTTTATATTTATTTGGCTACCATTTTTCAAATATTTTACCTATTTAGGTTAAACGGTTCTCTTAGATTCACCAAGCCAATATTGACTGAATTTAAATTTGTCTATTGCAATTTCAATTTAACCAGTTCAATTTAGTCCTCCCTTTCTCGTACTTTAGTTATTTATTATCGTATCTGAGCAATATATATGATGTTTATAATATTTATTAATTGCAGAACAAGTTGGCAAAAGAAATACAAGTAATCCTATACATAACTAACGTTGTTCCTTTTTTGGTATAGAACTCTAAAATAGTACCAGTGCCATCTATCGACATTAAGATAACACCGTATAGTGATTATTGGTTTTCACAAATAATCATTAATTACAGTTCTGAGTTGGAGAATCGCCTGTTCGTGTTGCAGTTCCACTGTAATCTTACTATCAAGGGTCGATATGATGCTGTTGGGAAAATATTGCTGTTTCCTATTAATGGAGAAGGAGATGCCAAGATCAAATTAAGTATGTAATTTATTGTATTTTCTAAACAAGATAATTTTTTGGTCAGTGCATAAAATGTATTATTATAGTCGTCGCCATGAACCCTTTTTATACCGTTTTTTGCCAATAAAACTTTAGTTTGTTCACTACCGCTAAAACAAACATGGATTTCCATGTTTGTTACGGTTTGGCCCTACAATATCAATTTCGTTCTGATTTTTTTATTTCTTGTTAACAGCTAACCTTAGAATGAAAGTGGATATCAATACAAAATATGTCAAAGACAAAAATGGCGTCGATCATTTCGGTGTGAAAAGTTACAAGTACACATTCGACTACGGCGACAAGGTCACGTTTGATCTACAAAACCTATTCAAGGAAAGCAAGCAACTTAGTGAGTAACAATTTAATCTATTTTTATTTCAAGTTACTTAATATATCAATGTTAATATTGTAGCAGATTACACTACTGTTACTCTCTTAAAAACGAAACGAAAGAATGAATGAAATGTTTTTTTTTTTGGATTGGGAATCTTAGTTCGCTTCGGTCAGTCACTATAAAAAGTATTCACGCGATATTATAAAGATATTATGTGAAAGTTTGAATACATAATCTTTATGATTTAACTTCTTGAAATATGTCGCTAGCAAATGTTAAATATCTATATAGAGATATGTAAATTTCGAACAGTACATGTAATATACATTTTTGCAGTATATTCTGCAGTATATATCACAAAGTCAAGATTTTCAACTTTCGCGGTGCAGCTTCTGTTTTACCCGAATAGTTACATAGTATTTTAAATCGTTCACTGCTGATACTACTCGACAATTTGGCAAGATCAGTGTAGACTCCTCTTTAGCTACATTATCATCATTTGAAGACTCTTTCAGTGTTATTAATGAAAAGGTTTAGCGTTGGATTAAATTTACGCTGAGTCTGAACTTAGTATTAGTCAAAATTCATATTACACAAGCCAAGGTTAACCTAGTACGAGTTTCTACAGGAGTAATTTTAACACCTAGAAGGTGGTAGGTTTGCTTATTTCCTTTATAATATGAATTTGGACTAATATTAAAATTGTAATTTTAGCGTAAATTTACTCTGATGCTAAACCTTTTTTTATTTAGTCGTATTCTGTAAGATGTTTAATCTCTGACACTATCGAGTATGGAAGAATATTCTAGAAAATTCTCGACCAACACGGGTGTTTCACATTCCAATACGTTTTTATGTCTGAAACCGGCTTACATGATATTTTTTTTAAAGTTTTCAGGTTTCATTGTTTCTCATACCAATAAACAAATTAAGACATATTAAGCAATAGAAGTATATAAAAGCAGATTAAGTCACAAATTGCAGAGAATTACATAAGATGATGCATTAAAAAAATATCTACAGTTATAAGTGTCCGACATACGAACATTTTTTTTTCAATTCGGATGACTGCTCTTATCATTGAGCTACAGTTCCAAGTGTCCGAAATGGGATACGAACATTTTTTTTCAATTCGGATGACTGATCTTATCATTAAGTTTTCCATGAATTTAGGGCAGTAATAAATTTATCTAAAAGAAAACTATACTTAAGTGTAAATAAATTTTATTTTCATTCGCATGAAGCCAGGAATTACTAGTTTAACTTAGTTCAGTAGTGCTAAGATTATTCAATACTTGTTACCATCACGCGATCGGAACACGTGAACGGAAGGATGCCCAAGCAACGAATAGAAGGGTATCTGAAAAGGGTTGAGGTCAACCATAGATAAAGTGATAGTACTTCCACGATTAAATTTGATTGTTTTGAAACTCAACATTTAAATTCAAAAACTTGAATAATAATATGGATATATTATGTACTAAAAATATATTTTTTGTAGTTTATTTGTTCGCTTTCATGTCTTTTGTAATTTAAATGTAACAGAAACTTAAATACTTCAAACGAATAAGTATTATTTCTGTCGATGATAGATGAGTCTTTCTTCGTCGAAGAATCTCGTCTTATGATTTCACACTTTATAGTTTTTATTGAGACTTGACTAAGCTTCAGTAGTGTTGGTTTTCATGGCAAATTCTATGAATATTGTCATAAATCCTCTATTCAATATTTTTAGAAAAGATTCTTTGATTCAGATATACTTGCACATGGAATATCCGAAACTATGTATAATGGTAGTTTAGGCATCTGAATGTTTTTAAGCACATACTGAGTTTTACTTTGGTTTTATTTTAAAACGGATTGATCTTTTATAAATAATTAAGATCTCACCAAACAGCTGTTGCTACATCGTGTATGAAAAATAAAACGCTCAGTTCCTACGTCCGCAGGATATTACGAACGATTAGTTCATACTTGTTCTTGTACTTCAAGTACCTAACAACGTGATCTATTTGAAATTCTAATCATTAATTCTTACACTCGAGACAAATCATTTTCACAAAAGTTGCTTAAGGCTAGATTTTATGAAATTACCACTTGTTGAACCAATTTTATTCCAAGACTATTATTTTATTTGCCAAATAGAAATTATGTTGCTATAATTAAACATATTGTTTGCAAAAATCAGAAACATAAATTTCATTTGAGATAGAAGAAAATAACGAAGGTGATTCTAAATTTGTTTTTGGGATCAATATTATGAATAACATATTTCATCTATCTATATTAAAAAATATATATATACAAAAATACGTTTACGATAACTTTTGACTTGTGTTTATTTGTGTATTTTTATGGTAACGTACTACAAGAGGATCTTAACACCACAGACCAAACAGGTTAATAGAAATAGTTCTGCGACAGATTTACATCACTCAAAGAGACCTCGGATAAGTATAAATGCATCTAATCCAAATTATGCGCGAGTAATTGAGAGCTGGATCACGAATGAAGATTCCAGCGGATCTGAGGTTGACGACATTGGCGAAGATTTTTGTCCAAAGCACAATTACCATGACACAGATACCAGCACTGATACTTCTGATACAGAAGAAACTCAACCTGAACAACTCATCATTGTGTCATCAAGTTTACATAATTCAAAACGCATCTAGACCAGATTTAAACTAAGTCTAGTTTAATTTAACAGAATTGTCTTTTTACAGCTACCTACTTCTTATTAACCACGAGTATTTCATATAACATGCCATAATAGTTGAACCTATTTGTTTCTAAATGTATAATGTTTGCGGAAGTGTATGTTACAACAGTTATTATGGCTTAATAGCCGTTTAATTTTCTCAATTGTCCATAAAGTCTGTTATAAATTTCATCATTAGCTAATAATATCACATCACATCACCAGCCTTTTTACGTCCCCACTGCAGGGGCTCAGGCCATCCTTATGGATGGTTAAGGAGGATGGGCCATGACCCTCCACGCTGGCCCAATGCGGATTGGAGGGTATTAACGACTGCAATTGCAGCCGGGACCAACGGCTTAACGTGCCTTCCGAAGCACGGAGCAGCTAATAATATGTGTGCAGCTAATAATATGTGTGCAGCTAATAATATGTGCGAGTTTAATTTTCTTTTTAAATAACGCATTTATTTATATTTGTTATATATTGAACTTTGGGTAAAAATTACAATGGTAATTTGCATTTCGACGCTTAGAACCAAGACCATCTATCTACACTTTTGGCGATTTTCACTTTTTAATGCAGTTCATGGTTAATTTATGCATCGTTTCCTTTAATCAACTACTTTAAATTCGCAATAAAAAAGGAGTTATAAGAAAATACCTATACTACCTAAGTTACGTGTCGTAATTATTATATGGAAATACCACCTATCTACAGGGAATACATAATTACTCGTTTAATAATTTAATAAACTAATAGCGCTACTTATAAACGGGGTATAAAATGTTATATCGAGAATTGGTGCAGATTACTCATTTCTGTTTGACAAACGTCATTAACTTACTTTATTTCAAATATTATTTCGTTTACCAATACCATCTATCTATCTAGAGTTAGCTGCATAAAGCTGCGCAAATATTTTAACTTATACCAGCTATCTATAGTAATTTTGAAACTAATGAAGATTTCTTGAAACATATGTAAACACCTTATTTCCCATGCCTATCCATTACATGATCAGATATAAAAAAAACTTGATGTAGAAAAAATATGAAACATTTTTTCGTCTCTTGTAAAATCGACTTCTGCAGATATTCTTGGTCCTAAAGCGTTGATTTGCAAGTCGTTCAGATTCTATTGAGATATGAATATTACTTTATTTACGTTATTAGCAGGAGAATTGGCATTTTTTTTAGTTTTTTATGTTGTGCATAGTAACAAAAGTTGCCCATTAATCCTACTTTAAATCCAGATTCAGTTATTCACGGCTTTTTCTTAATTAGGAATTCCGTCACGTGTACGAATTGCACTAAATATTTTATAAGAGATTCGGAACGATTAATTAATTGATCGTAACTATACAATCATTCAATAAATCGTTCCGTCTTTATTTGCCTAGAAATGCACTAAGTCTTTATTACCTATACAGAAAGAAGATTCTATTATAATAGGGAAAAAAGACTAGGTTATTTAGCAATATTATAAACAGGAAGTATTTCATTGTTTATAATCTGTTTGCATCGAAAGGCTCCGAAAGTTCTGAACTGATTTTTCTTTCATCTACGGGAAACACGGTTGGCATTGGCGATGTTAATGTCTCGTGTCAATAAAATCATTCATTGAATAATAATTGATAGTATTTTGGTAAATAATTAATTTTCTTATATAGATTCTCTCATCTTTTTAACTATCTATGAATCGATGAGAAACAACTTGATGAATGCAGAACACTCTTTCATCATCAAAAACATATAACTAAGCTTTTGAATTAATCTATTTAAATAAAACAACTTCAAACGGTATCAGTGCGTTTATTTTTGCCGTTATAACGTTTCAGTCCCTTTACAGGTTTCATATTCACTTAAGACTAAGGTGTCGATTATCTTTTTTTAAATAAGAGCATTCAAAACAATACTATTGTTAATGGTTTTATTTATAAGAATTCAGTATTTAATGGCTCAAGTACCAAAATATGACACTACTTTTTTCCATACAAATTTAATCCACGTCTCTAAACGTTGTGTCTCGTAGATAAAGATACTGTAACTGCTGACATGGCAGTACATCTCTGTACGTAGACGTACTGCTATTATGACTACATCAGACACTACGATAATATGACACTACGCCTTGGGACGTGACCGTAAATAGGCGTACTGCCGTGTAGTATCACAAGCCTGTATTTCAAAATTGACACTACGCCTTGACACGTGAGCGTAAATAGGCGTACTGCCGTGTAGTAGCACATGCCTTTATAGTAGATTTGATACAACGCCTAAGTACGTGACACGTAAATAGGCGTACTGTTGTACAGTTTTACATGATTGCTGTACAGTTTTGACACAACGCCTGGGTACGTCACCGTAAATAAGCGTATTGTCGTATAGAATTACTACTCATATTGTAGATTTGACAGTACTTCTTAGTACGTGATACGGAAACAGACGTTGTGTCGGGATGTATCCAAAATTGAAGAAAAGGACAGTTAAGAAATGACACAACGTCTTGGTACGTTAGCGCAAATAGACGCGCTAGCCGATAAAGTTAGAGACATACTACGTTAATTTGACACAACGCCTTGTTAAGTCACGGATATAGACGTTATTGTTATATAATTAAGCATAAAATTGCATATTTACTTCAAATTCTAAAATGATTGTTTGCACAATTACTTATGTACGAAAAGGTTTTTGTAGGAATAAATCAAAGTCACTTTAATTAAATCGAATACTATATTTTCTTTACAACGAAATAGTCAAAAATTAGACACAGTCTTTATATTTCAAGTCTTTTCAGTCAAAAAATTTAATAGTCTTAGTAGGAACATTTATGTTTTCATTAAATCACAGTTTTATCAATCTTTATGGCACTCGGTAATAATAAAAAATGATAAAAAAACAAAACTAACTAAAACTTAAAGTATTCTTCTTCCTTAAAATAATATAAATAATTTTACCCTTTCATTATACCTATTTACCTACGGTATCTACGTATTTTTAAATAAACAACAAAAATGTGATCCCTTCACAGCAAACATAAGAATACAAAAAAAACTTAAAAGCTTCAGTGTCAAGTTTAAATATAACATAACATATGAAACATAATTATTATATTAGAGATCTTTGTGCCATTCTTCGAAACACGATGGACACAATGCAGGAGATTTGTTACATCCTTTACAATAATAACTCGTGTCTCGTCGTATCTTACTCTTTGAGCATTGCTTGCATGACAAAAATGCAAATTTCTTTTTTGATGCTGCAGAAGGCATCATGCGTGTAGGCCAATGTCCGTGATTGGTTGTTGATAGGGAAGAAGATGCTTCTTCAGGTTGTGGTTCTGGCACTGGAGCATTTTGAACCAGAAATCGTCGACTATTGTGCTTATTAAACTTTTGTACCAAATCGACACCTTTTTCTTCATTCAAGCCCGTCAGTTTTCGGATCAGTTCTTCTCTGTACTTTATAAGCTCGTACTTTGTGTTTTTCTTCACATAGTTTTTGTAAATGTAAAAAGAATTCCAAACAGCCGTGTCTAAAAGGTGGAAAAGAACCTTTTTATACCATCGTATAGTCTTCCTTGGCGACGAATAATAACTGACCATTTGGTCAGCTCGATCTATACCCGCCATTTTTTGGTTGTACCTATGAACTTCTTTGGGTTTGGTTTTCTTTTTACCAAATCTGTTTGGGACTTCAATAAGTTCTGGGTGGTCCAAAGTTGTAATCATACAGACTTCTCTTTTATCTGTCCATGCACTTACATAAACTTTTCCTTTTCTAGCCCAGACATGTTGTCCTTTATTTAGTTTCTTTCCTGTGATTTCTTTTGGATTGTCTTTCCTTGACTTTCGCAGGGTCCCATTAGAATGAGTTTTTAAATCAATTAACTTCTCTGAAAGCGTCACAGAATTGTAGTAGTTATCCATAAATAAGTTATGCCCTTTTAGCACATATGGACGCATCAAACGAAGGACCAACTTATCTGTTTTTCTCTCAGTTGAATCTGCATCTTCCGCTCCAGTATACATTTTAATATTCAATACATACCCATCAGATGTCGTTAAAACGTAAAACTTAATACCATATCTCGCTTTTTTTGACTTTATGTATTGTCGAAACACCAAACGTCCTCGATACAGCAATAGTGATTCGTCAAGAGACAAATCTTGCCCAGGGTTAAATTTGTTTCGAAAATTTTGTGTCAGGGTATTGATGAATCCTTCAATTTTCGCACCTTTAGCTGCGCCCAAATCAGCTGCATATAAACATCGTAAAAGTTGTTCGTATCTTCGACAGGACATTGTGTAATTAAATACGGGATGAAAGTACAGCGGATCATCGTAAGTAAAAAGTTTTCTCTGGTTTGGGACATGAATATGACCATTTAATAATGTGAGCCCTAGGAACTTTCTCATTTCTTCAACATTTGTTGGATGGAATACGGAGTTTCGCGCATGACGTGTATGCGGCCGGTTAGTATTTGTAAGAGCTTCTCCGTAAGTATTTGTCCTTTCAACTAAATATTCTAACATATCTGGTGTAAACATTTGATTAAATACTTCTTCACAAGTGGTATTTTCATTTACTTCGAAAGTTGGACCTTTCTCAGCAGACCTGAACTCAAATGAAGGAACATCTACTACGTTATTCTCCCAAATCCTTTCAGTTGGTGGAGGAGTACCTCCGCGCACACGATTTGCCATATGCCTGTGTCCTCTATGATTTTCTTCTTGACCTGTACTAACCTCTATCTCACGCTCTGCCACTTCAGCTGGTGCCTGTGGTTGCAGGAAAGGAATATCTTCAACATCTTGATTTCTCCCATCAGAAACAGGTGCTACTGGCGGTTGATTGGCCCTTGTTTGACGATCGGTGAACGGTTCCTCTTGACTCTGTCTGATTTCCTTTTCCATATCGTGTGATTCTTCTGGTTGTGTGCTTTGATCCTGTAGGAACAAAAATGAAGTAAACATGCTTTTGCCGATAAATCATTCTAGTCTTTCACTACAACACACGAATAAGAATAAGAGTGCATTTGCAGTTTCAATTCAACCAATCACCTCCATACTATTTTATGCTAAATAAAACAAAATTGAACTAAACTTCAAGATAGCATATAATAGCAATTTACCTCATTTTCTTCTTGATTTAGTGTAACTTCTTCTTCAGGAATCCACTCAGCCGCTCTAGCCCTAAAATCGTGAATTGAACTTTTTTCTTGGTCACTGCTTACAGGGTCCTCGACAGCATCATCACCTTCTTCCTGAGATTCATCCGACTTATTTTCTGTCCTATCATCACTCTCCGAGGTTTCAGCAGATTCTTGACTAGATTCCTTACTTCCTGGCAAAAATCGGGGTATATTCCGTCGGTGCTGGACACGCGTATCGAAAATGCTATCTTCACTGGCACTAGAATTTTCATTGGGAGGTTCAAAATTTTTGTCGGAGTCAAATTCACCTTCAACGTCCGAGAACGGATCATGACTGCTACCTGACTCTTCTTCTCTAAACAAGGTCTTAGACTTGTCGCTTTGGCGCGATCTTTTCTTTCTAGTAGCCATCTGTAATTAAATTAAATACCTTGTAACAGGCAGCCACACCAGAAGCAATAGAACACGATTGCAATAGATACAAAACGTAGAATAAAACATAATATAATATGGTTATAGGTTAGAGTGTACTAAAATATTTTAATTTCACTGTAAAATATACTCAACTCTCTAGGAAGCATTTAAAAAATTATTGGCATCTGATTATTTGACCCCAAGAAAACACTAAAACATAAAATTGAATCAAATACTCACCTCAAATACCACGTGGTGAAATTGCGCAGCCTCCAGCGATCGTCCTCGACTGTGACACTGCGCGACTGTCCGACCGCAGCGCTATAGTCGCTCGTCGGCTATATTCGTTGCGTCACGACATGCTTACTATGCAAAAATTTATATGTGTGTGTAAGGCCACACATTTGTAGTCAAAAAATCTTTTGTTATGACAGTACACGAATGAAATCGATTACGTTGTGACAGTATACATAGGACTTCATATTAGCTCTAAGAAAACTTCACGCTTATGTTCGTACTGGCAAAGAATTTTAAAAAGAAAATAGCGTAAATGGACGTTGTGTCATATTGTGAGTTCCGTAAATGACGAAAATGGCCGTTCTGTAGATTTATATTTTTTCCTTTAGGTGATACAGTATTGGCGTTCCTAAATGATAACTGGAAGACTGTAGCCGAAGAGTTCGGTAAACCAATAGTGGACTACGCAGTCGATCTTGCTATAAGGACCATAGAGAAGTTCTTTGTTGCAGTTCCTTACTCAGAATTAGTATATGTTCCAATTCCAAAATACTAATATGTGTGTATACTAGGTTATTTATTGTTAATAGAGATTTTTGTATTTTCTTCCTGTTTTTTTATTTTATTCAAATCCTGATTAGAGTATAAACCTGTGATTTTTTTTGGATATTGTTATTAACTTAGATTGTCAATAACATTCAATTCAAAATTCAATATTTCTTATTCAGTCTAGACTGTTACAAGCACTTGAGAAAGTCGAAAGGTATACCATGAGACCTTATACTGGGAAGAACCTCTGCAAGGGCTATTTTTATATCCTTGTTTTATTTCAGACGGATAAAACAAGGACAGAAATCCATTACAAAGTCAGAAAAAAACAAAACAAATAATTTTCTCGTTAATCAATGAGATATCGTGTGGGCTCACCAGTTATATTTGGGTGTAGTCTAAACGTTCTCGAAGTCCTCTTCTTTTTCCGTTGACAGGCATCTCCACAATTCGGCGTTCAAATTACGCCTATTTTGCGTACGAAGGATATGTGGCTGGGAATTACTCCAGCTATACCAGCTCCGCCAGAAACGCTCTCAGCACTTTCATGTCTATGATGACCTCCTGGAGGTTCTCAAGTTCATTATACTACGTATGCAGAGCAGACTCATCCTCGCCGGCATTAGATCTTCGCGTTGTGTGGATCATGACCAATATCGGTAGTCGCTAAGACAAGGTAGCAAACCTGTAAATAAGTATAACTATAAAGATTTATGGTTTGACGTACTAAACGGATACTAAATATCTAATGAAATTTATTTTGGATAGGTAAATAATTGAAATCAAATTATTATTTTATTATGTAAAAACGTAGGAAGGTATATCAATCTTATGGAAAAACAATAATAAATAACAATGCTGCTGTAACATAAACATAACTCTCAATTTCATTCGAGTGGGAATTAGCACTGGCAAGTTAAAGGTTGATTATGCGCATACGATTATTATTAACCACCCGACTTATAAGACATTCTGTCAATGAGCTTAACTATATCAAACGACAATGACTTCCAAATACCTACATAATTAGTAGAAAAAAGTAGGCTGCATTAATTGACATTGGACAAGGTTATCTTAAAATAACGGTATTATCATAAATCAAAGAATATATTCAGTCACAATATTTCATAACATAACAGTAAAATAATCAGAGCAACGCTAGTTTCATGGTCATCAACTATACACAGTATTTATAAATTCACCGGCCTTTAAATAAATTACAGTGTACAAGCAATTACAAATTAAAATTTTTCTTCAATAAAAACATTCTGTTTTCTATTTGATCTTTGATATAATTGCCGAACTGTCTAATAATGTTTTGTAAACTTTTTATTTTATACACGATTTTTAAAATTTAAATTTTCGTTTTTAATAAAAAATAGTTAGAATATAGTAAAATAAAATTAGTACACTCCAAGTATTAATCGATATTTTTATTTAATATGTCAGTTTGCGGCCTCACAGAAAACCGACGTGAAGCAACGCTTGCGTTGTGTTTCGTCGTGTGAGTGAGGGTACCGGGGGCCCAACCCGTCCCTATTCCCTTCCCTCTACCCCTCAACCCTTCCCTCCAAGGCCGGCAGCGCGCTTGTAGTTGTGTTGCAGGTGTCCATGGGCGACGGTAATCACTTACCATCAGGTGATCCGTCTGCTCGTCTGCCCCAATCCCATAAAAAAAAAGAATAAATTTTTACTATGATGCAAAGTGGCACCTAGTGGGCGGATTGGTAAAGGTGATCGTCCAGTGCCTCAGCATGCACGTAACGGCCTCACCACATGCAACGCATTGCACGTATTTCTAGATGTCATACATCCACTGCACTTGCATTTTTCGTATGCTTCTATAAAAAATGCGGTTGTTTATTTTGACGCCAGAATTACGCTGATGACGTCATAGGAATTTTTAGTTGAATCCGTTGCGTGTCGTGTGGCCGGGGCGTGCGTGCTGACATATGGACGTTCACCTTAAAAGGTTAACATGTCTTTCAAAGCACGGAGGAGCTCAGGATGATAATTTTTTTTATTACCCATCTTATAACCGATCCTTCCGAAAGTTACTTACCTTTCACATCTGACGCACGCCTACTCACATCCCCTATTCACGTGTCGTACATTATTTAAAAACAATATTTGATCCCCTCAAACTATCTTAACTGTCATCACTGAAGTTTTTCATATTTCTAACGACTACTTTCCAAATTCTACTGTCCAACAAATACTTCCAAACACAAACTGAACATCTTTACAATTCTGATAGAAAACTTTATCAGTTTCTTTTAGGCGAATAACAAACAAATTAAACTCAAATGCTTTGTAACAGATGTCAAGAAAAGTGAAAATGTAAGTTGGTATAGTTATTCATTTGTCTTGGTTAGTCTAAGTTCCTGTCACGCCCTTCTCTCGTTCCGTTGCTGTGACAAGATTGAGACACTATTACTTGTGACGTCTTATTTGAACGTTTTTATCGCAAACTTTCACGAATAGTAAAAACGTATTGACGTTAATGCTATTTTGCCAAAGAAGAAAGAAGACTTACAATAAATATTAAATGTACACTTCAAGAATAATGGGTATCGAAAACAAAGCAATTTAAAAATAATTGTTTGGAGTTAAAAATCCTTCAAAATTTCCATTTTATTGAAAACAAAATTTTTGTAACGGGTTATCTTCGGGAATACTCTCGAAGGCAATCGCGACTGATCGACATTGAAATTGTGCCATTGCGTACCCTTGATTAGGTACACTAGCGCCAGAGTACGCTAGTGAAATCAAGAGTGGATTGCCTGGACATTGATGAAAATACGCTCTGTAGTAGCAAAAAAGTAACAATTGCTTGAAAAACTCGTCAGTCCTGTTAAGTCCTGGTTAGCTCAGTGATTAGAACAGTCGCTCGTATTGCGCGGTTCGGATCCCATCGCAGAGTGCAAGCATAAAGTAGATTCTTTACTCATTTATCGTTAATAATATAATTTAGTATAATTTATAAAATACATGTATTAAACTATTAGCTGTCATTGAAATAATTATGCCTGTGAAACTCTCTCTGATTTTATAAACGAAACAAACTTCAAACATCCATCATACTTATAAATTTAATAAAACTTCAAAACTCCATAAAAAGGAATTTCCCGTTGGAAATTTCATTAATTTTCCTCACGTTATTTTAATAATAGTCACTTTTAATGATCATCGGCACTGAACCATTCAATCGAGTTACTGAGTTCGTCGTCCGGTAAATTAAAAATATTTAGGGTTAAATTACCTGTAAATACTTCAAGGCGATGTTATATTTATAAAATGAGGAAATTCATTTTTAAGAATCAGATTTACATTACCAAAGGCTGTGGTAAAATACAAAGTTACTACACAGAATACATAGGCTAAGCAGTATGATAACTAGGAATAAAAGGTACAATTTCTGCACTCACTCATTTGCACGTTTGTATTAGCCTAAGTGGAGCCCATACATCCTAGCCACTATACAATAGAATACAATTTTAATTACAAACAAGTTATCATTTAAATAAAAACAATGATATTTAAATCGACTCAATTTCAGTTAAGCAATTACTGATTCTGTGTACGATTTGTTTTTTAAAACTAACAAAAAGAACAACAATAGCAATTTTGAAACTTTGGGTATCCTAGAGAGTACTGAATTTTGACCCTAATTGGGTTGAACCATAAATTATTATAATAGAACACTTATATGTCGCTATGCGATTATTTGAAGACTTAAGGTGTATTTAAAAAACTAGATCTCATGGGTGCAAACATCACGAATTCCGCCCTTTTTGAGTTATGGCAGTATTTTTTTAATAAACTGCATAGATGTTTACGGGTTTTAAAATTAAAATAATGTTATATATAAAAAAATATAGAAACAAACGGCACGAAAATATAATACCTACACAAAATTTTGAAACAGTTTCACACATCAGTAAAGCTTTCGAAGATTTTTATATCTATTAATTTTCCTTGAATTAAAGTTATTAAACGATAAGCGTTATAAAAATATACGTAATCGGTTTCTAGAGTTTTCTAAGTAACGAATTAGCTTGAGCAAGAATAATAATTTATGTTTGTACTACGACCCAAACACCGAGTCAGAGTTTAAGCAACTGGCCATAGCGAGTTTTTAATCTACGTACATACTTTTTATCGTTATTTTATTTGAGTTAATAACTTAGATTCATTGCCCATGAAGAATTTATGCGTATATCCTCTTTGATGGGGAATAATATTTTGAATATACAATGTTACAACATAATTGATATGATGATTTTATGCATATTTTGTAATGTACGAGTATATTGTATGATATTCAGATGCGAGTTGGGTTTAATTTTTTAAATCTATACATGATTTCATAATCGAAATTCGTAGTAACAAATAAATTTAGAGATATTATTCAAACAAATAAATAGATTCACTTTTTGTTTATGCACCTTTTTTACATAGTTATTATTAAAAAGAGTTTTACATTTAATTAACAAGAAAATATATATTGCCTCCTTTGATAAGAGTACCGTGACATTTCTCATTTCCTTTTAACAAAGTCTGTAACAAACTTAGTGTAACACCCACAACGCGATAATCAAGTGTCTGAAAGTCTATTTTCCGAGGAACAATGCGATGCATTGGTGGAGCAAGCCGTCCGAGTTAACAACTTGTTGGAACAAGTACAACTTAAGTTGTCCGACTGGTCAAACGTCGGTTTATTGTTCCGAAGACTCGGTTTGGCCGTTACTGTTTCATTTAATTAATTTGTATACATTTCATAGATTTTACTAAAATCGCCATAAATTTAGAACTTTACAATTGCCAAACAAACTAAAAGTATAACAGGAATACGAGACTATTTGAAGGCATGTCTATGAGTCAGATGGAAATATGACGGTGCGCGGAAGTAAGAGTTATAATCTTAGCTTAGCTTCAAATTCTTATCATTACTAAATTTGTAAGAGTAACTTTTAATTCAGTTTTATTTTTAATAATTTGACTATACATCTAAGCTAGATAACACTAACATATAGCTATAATAGAACATAATCAATGAAGGCTATAGCGACACAGCCCCGGCAATATAACTCGGGACCAGTGTTGTTGCGAATAT